AGTCCACAAGGTTGCAAAGAGTCAGACATGACTTAGTAACTGAACAACAACAACAACAACACATATTTGTAGTTTTTCAATAATGGTTGGTGATATTTTATTGTAAAAGCTGAGCTTAAGTGCAAGTGATCTCAATGTAGTCTGGCAGCATTGACTAATGTACTAAGTCTGGAGATAATTTCTAAAAAGGGATAATTTCAGTGAAAACAGTTTTTACTAATTAAAAAAATGTGAGTAGGACTTCATAAAGGTTAGTGGAATTGTAAAGGATAATAATTAACAAGATTAAGTTGGTCTTGATGATAACCTTGAAAATTTGAACCCCAAATCCAGTTAAATCTGTAATTTCTAGCACATGGCATAATTCTTAAGTTCTCCCAAAAGCCTTTACTTGAGTAAAGTAAGATCTGTCCTATCCCTATAGATCTTATATTGGTCCCTGGTTTCCTGAGAGAAAGACATTTCCAGTTTGATCCTGTAATTTTTTTATCCTGGATTTAAACTATTGTGGATGGTCTTTATGTATTTGAATTCCTCAGTATGAGCACAGTTTGGACAGGTTGACCAGATTTTATCTTTCTCTGGAACCGTATTCCTTACCTGAGTTCCTATCAACATGAGAAGGCTACTCATTTCTTAGAACTTGAAAGTAATCATCCCTTTTGGACTAACCACAAATAGCCTATTTCCTGTCCATGCAAAATCTCAGCATCTCAACTTTTATCTGATCTCCTGAAATAAGGTCAGTGATCTCTAGTTTTATCTCTCATTAAGCCATTCCTAGTTAAGATTATCCTACCTTACCTTTCCTGTTTCCTTGGGATATTTACATATATTAACATGTATTTATTTACAATTTTCTAAAAGTGAAAATTATATGCTGTGTTTACCACAGAAGTGAAAAAGGGCAATAAAAGAATTTGTCACAAAGGAGGAAGTACAATAACTGTAATGCAGACACAAAAATTCAGTACAGCAGTCAAGGTTGTTTAATATAGAAGAAAATGGGTTTGGGTACCTTAGATATTCCCAGGTATATTATGTCTTAAAATACTATAGCTACAACTGCACAACTGCTGTTAATAAAGCATGTAAATCATTGGTTCCTGAGAGTACATAATCAACTTAAATATATATAGGTATATGTGTATGTGTGTATATATATAATTAAAGATGACAGGGGATTCTGATTGTGTTTAAGGTAGAATTCAGGACGTAAATATCTTTGTAAATTTCCTTACTGATTCTCATAAATATCTTTGATTAAAAAACCATTGTTCTGATATAGCAAGAAAATTATATTCAGTAGGTTCTACTTAAGCCTGCAGGGATATTTATAAAATCTGTGTAATTCTAGTCGTTAAGGAAAAAAAGATCTAGTAGAAAAGTGGTCAAAGATAAGCAGAAAATTTAGGAAAAAAGAAATATAAATGACTCTTCACCTTGTGAAAATACATTGAAACTCACTACTGGGTAAAGAAATACATGCTTTCCTAACCAGATCACCAAAAATGAAAAATTTGGTCTGTTTGTAGAAACAGGCACTCAGGTTCTTTGATGGTAAGAGTATGAGTTAGTACAAATCTATGGGGGCAGTTTGGCAACATGTATAAAAGTTTTAAGTGTTTTTATTATCTGATAAGTGAAAGTTACTCAGTCATGTCCGACTCTTTGCAACCCATTGGACTATATAGTCCATGGAATTCTCTAGGCCAGAATACTGGAGTGGGTAGCCTTTCCCTTCTCCAGGGAATCTTCCCAACCCAGGAATCGAACCCAGGTCTCCCACGTGGCAGGTGGATTCTTTACCAGCTGAGCCACAAGGGAAGCCCTGATAAGTAATTTTATGCTAAGAATTTATTCTGTAGACATTGGAAAATATCAGATTGCAAAACAGTATTTATAATGTGGTCTCTGTGGTTAAGACCAGCATTTTTTTTAAAGTCTGAAAGGCTATATAGTATAACAAAATAGTACCAGTAGTTATAGCTGAAAGGTATGACTACTAATTAAAATTTTTCTTTATGTCCATATTTTAGTGTCTTTGTGGGTGGCTTTGGTACATAGAGATTATGCAGAAATACCTTTGCCTCTAAAAATTTAACTCTGCCTGGGCTTGAAGAGACACAGTAGGGAGATTGTTACCTCTGGGCTGACTAAAGTTGCTTATTGATTTGTCAGCAGTGAGATCTGAAGCTTCTGATTTTCTCATTGCCCTGACAACCAGGCTAAGCCCCTTTAAACAGTTAGTAAAAATTTAAAATCCCATAATCTACTCAGAAAGGTTATAGTCTTCAGGAGAGCTACAGGAGAGTCAGCTACTTTGTTGATTTTGTAATTCTTTTTCCTTTTAAGATATTTAAAATGTCTTCCTGTTTTACTCTAAAGATACTTTAAGGCTATTGAATTCTTTATACTCTGAGAATTCTTTATATACTTAGGTAATTTCTGTGGTAACTTCTTTGAATTTGATGAAATCTGATGTCCCATAATTTTCCCAGCACTGCTTTATTGATGTACAGTTGGCAAAAACATTTTGTGTATCTAAAGTGTACAATCTGATGTTGTAAAATATACCACAGTTAAGTTGATTAACACATCCATCGCCTCACATATTTACCTTTTGTGTGTGTGGTGAGAATGCCTAAGATCTACTCTCAGTACATTTCAAGTATACAATACAGTACTATTGACTGCAATCACTGTGCTACCCATTATATCCTCAGAACTTATCTACCTTAAAACTGACAGTTCGTACTCTTTGATCAACATCTTTCAGTTTCCCCTATCTATATTTTGTCTACTCTTGTAGATAAATCATTAACTTGATAAATCATTAACTTATAGCTAATTATTTAGTTCTGGACCACAACTTCTTAGGTTCTTCAGATGACTGTTTTGACTTTTTGATTTTTTTTCCTGTCTCTTTTTTTTTTTTTTCTGTCTCTTTTTGAGGGGGGCTACATTTTAAGTTATTAGATAACTTTTATTTTTTTGAGAACTAAAGCAGTTTTAATTTGGGGTGAGGGGTGGAAGATGGAGAACTTCAGAAGAGCTGATTAGAAGAGCTATTCTAATCTATAAAATATTTAACTACTATTTAGTAGCAGGATATAAGAATTAGTAACCTTTCTGCAAGCCCTGTATGAAGAAAACTAACAGAAAGATTTAAGAGGTTTTTTTTTTTTAATTATTATTTTTTCATGGGACTATATAAGACACAGATGTACACGGACAGTAGTACCTACTATTACTTTTTTTCCAGAATCATTTACAGTTTAATTTTAGACAGCATCTCAGTAGGTTTTTTCTTTTTGGATACATAGGAGATAGTGAGGAGGCATCTTAAAAAAGATTTTGTAGCTCACTTGAAGTCAAAACATTTTTGAAAAAGTAATGAGCAAGTTTTTGTCAAGTCCATATGAGTGTAGACTATAATGTTACTTGAAGAACATTGCAGTTCTGATAAACCAATGGACTAGAAACAGACCATGATAGATTTAAGAATTTGGTTGTATCATAAATCAGTGGAAACGAAGAGATTATTCAATAAATGGTGTTAGAATAATTGGTTAACTGTTTGTAAGAAATGAAGTTCAAATTTCCCCTCAAATCTATACAAAATTAATTCTAGATGGATTGAAGTTACCTGTGGAATAGAAACCATAATAAGTTTTAAATGTGGGTAAACATTTAATGACCTAGGCAAGTGAAAGTGAAAGTTGTGTTCAGCTCTTTGTGACCCCATGGACTATACAGTCCGTGGAATTCTCCAGGCCAGAATACTGGAGTGAGTAGCCTTTCCCTTCTCCAGGGGATCCACCTATTCCTGTGTGATTTCTCTCACTGTTTCTATGCTTATAAACTTAATGACCCAGGGGAAGAAGTTTATAAGCATAGAGACAGTGAGAGAAATCACACAGGAATAAGTGAATTATTCTTAACACATAGTAGCCAAAAATATCTACAGTAAAGTTACCACAAATAAAATTAACAGACAGAAAAATTAGAAAACTATTTCCCACAAGTGTGACAAAGTGTATACATGAGCACATATCTACCTGTTGGGGATCAGAGAAGAGGCAACATGTGGTTCTTATCCATTTTGGAATAACCTCCTTCAGGAAAAATGTATGTGCTACATATGGACACTAATAAGAACATGCAAACATACACATGCCCCAATTTTTCAGTATCATCTTAGGGGAGACATATGTTCATAAGAGTTCCATGGACCACAGAAGAAGTGCTTGGTAAATACGAGTAAGCTTCAACATCCCTGTTAAAGAAATGGAAGGGTTTTAAAAATGATAATATTTGAATATTGGTAATGGGATGTGAATTAGTAAAACCTACCTGGAAAACTCTTTGGCTTTTAAAATGTCAGAATGGTATTTTAAAATGCCATTTCTTGGAATTATTTTAAGGAACATCGGAATCTCAGACATATTTTTGCACAGCAGTGATCATTATGTACAGAAATGCTTATTACTTACACTACCAAAAAAATGGGAAGCACCCTGAATGCTCAATGTAATGGTTATTATAAATTATAGTTTAGACATGTAATGGAACATCAAGGAGCCATTATATATGTTTTTGTAAAGACTGTTTGATTATGTGGGGAAACTAAATGTCCTGTTAAATGAAAAAAGGAAATGCCATGAGATTTTTTTAAAGTTTCTTGTAAGTAATGGGACTATTGGTGGTTTTAAATTTTTTATTCATTTATGTATTCTACCCCCTTATTTATTTTTATAGTGATATATATTTTACGTAATTAAAACACTTGAAAAAATGTACTTGATTCTGTTGTATAATTTTTAAAGAGTTTTACTTAAAAATCAGTAAAATGACAGTGATTTGACACTCAAAAAATAGGTAAGTTTTTTTTTTTTCCAAAACTTATATTGTTACTGGTTCAAGAAATTTTATCTTAAAACACTTGTGGAATTAAGACAGAAAATTAATTTTTGGATACCTTTTCCTTCTCCTCCTAGAAGTGGAAGACTTGTTTTCTTCACTTAAACATATCCAACATACTTTGGTAGATTCTCAGAGCCAGGAGGATATTTCACTGCTTTTACAACTTGTACAAAATAAAGATTTCCAGAATGCGTTTAAGATACACAATGCTGTCACAGTACACATGAACAAGGCCAGTCCTCCATTTCCTCTTATCTCCAATGCACAAGATCTTGCACAGGAGGTATGTATTCTGAAAATCTCATTGACATACACAAGGTAATTGTTAGTGGTAGTGAGGCGGTATTCTTGGAAAATACTGCTGTGACTCTAAGATTCATTAGAATTAATTGCTACTGATCACATGTTGATAATTTATGTGTGAGGAAAAATTTGCTTATGTGTATTTTATCCTGAAAGAAAAGTATACTTAGTACAGAAATAAGACTCTGGTCCATGAAAAGAAGAGCATTGGTTTTATTGGCTGTATATTTGTATAGTAAGAGGACTATTTGTCTAAATTGTTAAAGGGGAAATTTTTTTAATACTTTTAGTATGGTTTTATTTTAAGCAATATACATTATAAACTGAGATAAATCAGTACTGATGAGACTAAATTATGTTAGATAATCAGGTATTATAAATACATAACTTCTAAGATTTGTTACTTGTATTGAATACATATAGAACTCAATATATATTTAGAAATGTCCTTTTACAGGTGCCACAACTAGAGAACAGGCTAGTTCTGATGCTGTCATTGCTGTGATCTACTTGTGGTCAAATTGATTAATCTCAAAATTATTATCTCTTAGTTTCGATAGGGGAATTACTTTAAAAATTATTTAAAATAACCATAAGAATTGTTAGAGAATTACTGGATTCCTATTTTAATCATAAGCTAACTTTTATTAAAATTTTATATATTTATATATATTTATTAATTAATCATCAATGGTGATGATTTTGGTTTTGTTAATCTGCATTGTTACAAAGTGCTCTTTTTGGTACTGGAGTAAGGAAATAGAAAAAGGAGGAAAATTAGAGATACTGATAATGAGAACATATTTGAGGAAAAAGAGCCCACAGAACAAATTTTAAATATTTATGGTAGAAGAAAAGATTGAAAATAATTCAACTGAACGTACAGTTCACGTGATTAGAAATTAGAAAGGGAAGTAAATGAAAGCAGAAAAAGGGATTAAATTACTTACATAAATTTAACATTTAAAAGTTTCTTTTTTTTTAAGAGAACAAGAAAATAGAGAAACCTATTGATAAGTCAGATGAAGAAAAAACACTAATAATGTTAGCAAAGATAAAAGCATAAATTATAACAAATTATAAGTTTATATTATTAAGTATGAAAGTGCTATCACCTGGGTGGTTTTTGTAAGAAAATAAAAACTGCCAAAAGTGACTTACAGATAGCTGAAAAAAGTAATAGCAGTAGGTAAAATTGAAAGATAGAAATCTACTCCTCAAAATGCCGGACCCAGATAACTTTACAGACTCCTTCAAAACATTAGGGAACATATAATCCTTATGTTAAATAAACTGTTTTCACACATAAATATTGACTATTTCCCATCTCATTGTACTTGGATAATATAATTTAGATACTAAAAACAAATAGTAAACCAGTATATGTGACTATACTCACCAAGTAGAGGTAAATTCATTTTATGAACATTAATATAGAAATCTTAAAATATGAGTAACTCACATCTAGAAATATATTAAAATAACAATTTACTGTGTGCTCGGTAATCTGCTAAGCAGTCTATATAGATTATCTCAATCTTCTAAGAACCATAGTAAGGAAACAGGCTAAAAAAATTCATAATCAAGTGGAGTTTATACTAAGAGTGGACGAATTGCTTGACTTGAGGAAGATCTTTTATATAATTCATTATAGTATAGTGGTTATTCTGTCACTCATATAAATTTATCTTGTTAATCTAACTCTAAAATGTCCTCTCTGATTTAAAATGTAGTTACATAAGCGTATGGTTAAAAATATAAAATAGCAGCATAACTGTTAGAATAACTTTTCTCTTATATAGTCATTATTAGTCTATTTTATAATGTATTTGCAGAAAATTTTAAGGAAATGCCTCATTCATAGTCATAAGTAAAAATGCTATTGTCAATCATGATAAGATTGAAAATTCTGAGAAAAAACATTTTAAAAATAATTCTCTTCAGTGCTTTTCTGTCTTACAAATAGTTTTTACAATTTTAAATCCTACCCTTTAAAAAAATCTGTACAAATGTCATATTTTCTGTAACCTAGGAATAATCTTTTGTTTCTTAGGTACAAACTGTTTTGAAGCCAGTTCACCAAAAGGAAGGACAAGAATTAACTGCTCTGCTGAATGCTCCACATATTCAGGTAGAAAATGGACAGAGCATTATCTATGTGGTTTTTCCAGCATTCAGTATCACTTTGAATCAGTCTCTTGGACTAACAAAGAGCTCAAATATTATGTAGCCTGTTTTGATTGTTGTTGTTGTTCACTCAGTTGTATCCAACTCTTTGCAACCCCATGGACTGCAGCACTCCAGGCTTCCCTGTCCTTCACTATCTCCTGGAGTTTTCTCAAACTCATGTCCATTGAGTCGGTGATGCCATCCAACCGTCTCAGCCTCTGTCATCCCTTTCTCCTCCTGCCTTCTGTCTTTCCCAGCAACAGGGTCTTTTCCAGCGAGTCGCCTGTTTGTATCAGGTGGCCAGATACTGGAGCTTCAGCTTCAGCATCAGTCCTTCCAGTGAATATTAAGGACTGATTTCCTTTAGGGTTGACTGGTTTCATCTTGTTGCTGTCCAGGGAACTCTCAAGAGTCTTCTCTAGCACCACAGTTCAAAGGCATCAGTTCTTCGGTGCTCAGCCTTTTTTACTGTCCAGCTCTCACATCCATACATGACTACTGGAAAAACCGTAGTTCTGACTAAAAAACCATAGCTTTGATTGTTTACATCACAAAGTAATTGAAACAACTTATTTACAAATTTCTCCTTTTTGGTTATGTTTTTCTGTAAATTTTAACTATAATGTTGGACCCTTAATGTGATTCTGTTTTTTGAAGTTTTTTAGACTTTCATAACTCATCCCAGAGTATTCCCTAGTGTAACTAACACGTTAGTTAGCTAAAAAAGATAACAGAGCTGCATCTGTACTTCAGTTGGAAACTTTGGAAACAGATCTGAATATATAATTAATTATAGCACTTTTAAGTGTTTTATGAGCAGGATACTTTGTACATGAGTTAGGTTAAAATCTCTCTACAGAAATAAGTCATGTTGTTACTTGAAATGCTTTGGGTTTCTTTGAAACAGGCACTTTTACTGGCCCATGATAAGGTCGCTGAGCAGGAAATGCAGCTAGAGCCTATTACAGATGAGAGAGTTTATGAAAGCGTTGGCCAATATGGAGGAGAAACTGTAAAAATAGTTCGTATAGAAAAGGCTCGAGATATTCCATTGGTAAGTGTTCCACATCTCTGATACGGGATCCTTTCCACACGGAGATCTTCTGTATAATTGAAGACCCTTTACATTTCTGGTAGTTTCTCTCTTTTGAGGCTAATTTTTTGGAATTCTTTTATGTTCTTGCTCATACTCCTTATTAGTCTGAGAAGAATCTGTTCATCTTTTCTCACCCATAATTTGATGAAAAAATAGGTTGTGAAGTAATTGCACAAAGAAGGGACAGGTAATCTGCTTCATTATTCCAGCTTTTTAAAAAAAAAAGTTAGAAATTGTGATCATTTCATTCAGTGTAATTACTAACACTCTTCACATATATTTAGAAGTATGCATTGTTTAATGTTAATATTTTATAGTTCTTATACGTAAATGCTTTTTCTCTTAGTCTGCTATTATTACCTTAATTTTTTTCCTTTTTATTTTCAGAGAAATATTCTTCAATCCTAAGATCTTAAATTTTTCTTGCATAATATGGTATATGAAGTAGGGACTGTATTTTATTAAAAGGCAGTTTATGTAACAAGGTTTTATTCCCCACCAAAAAAAAAGAAATTGGGAAAGTTATGACAAATTTTTAAAATAAAGAATCAGGAGAAAAGTGTTACAAACTGTCTACTCTTAAACTTTTTTCAGATTTCCATTTTTTGACTATATATTTCAGTTGTGCTTCTGATTTATATCATAAACATTTAATAAATATTAATGTGAATTGGATACAGCTATAGTATTTAATATTTTGATTATTAACCAGATTAGTATTCATCTCTTCATGATATTTTGAATTTAAAAAGATTTTCAGTTACAAGTCATGTTCACTGATTGTACCTAAATATAGTATAACCATTTGAATAGCGTCTACCATATAAAGAACAAATTTGATTATAGGCTTTCACTTTATTTTTGAGCAAGTGCATTTTTATGCTGTTGTATGCTTCAAAAGTCTGATTTTAGAATTTTAACAAATAGAATGCTTCTGAAGCAGAAAATGTGGAGGAAATGATAGCTTTCAGACTATTGCCATGGTTACTGTATGTAAATAAATTTTTTTCTCCAGATAAATGAAGGCTAATATTGTTAACTAGAAAAGTAAGAATTTTAAAATGAGGAAATAAAAATGCATTTTTTAAAAAAATTGAATTTTTTTGTTTTTTAGGGTGCTACAGTTCGCAATGAAATGGATTCTGTCATCATTAGTCGGATAGTTAAAGGGGGTGCTGCAGAAAAAAGTGGTCTGTTACATGAAGGAGATGAAGTTCTGGAAATTAATGGCATTGAAATTCGGGGAAAAGATGTCAATGAGGTTTTTGACTTGCTGGTAAGTTGACATGGGTAGAAGGATAATTGGTACAGTCTCAAAAATTGTTTCCTTCAGTAGACTTCAGAATTTTAAAAGCATATTAAAACTAACTGTTAAGATATCTATATAATTTCTAGCATAATTTTCACATATAATTATTTCCATAATATTTACTAGTAGCATTTTATTCTTGTGGGGACACTACTAAATTTTATTTATACTGTTAGGTACATTTTATTTGCCTCTGAAATCACTAATAATAACTCATTAAATCATTCAAAATATATGCATTAAGTGCCTCCTATGTGCTAGCTGCTAGGGAAACAGTAACAAAATGAAGTTCATACCCTCATGATTTTTTTGCTCATTTTCTTTATTATCTACAATTGATTGTTGTTTTTTTAACAGTATTAGATAATAACAATGGTATAGCTCTACACTGTTCACTATAATAGCCATTAGCTACATGTGCTAGTTAAATTAGTTATTTAAATTAAGTAAAATTCAAAATTTAGTTCCTCATTCATGTGTGCATGCTAAGTTGCTTCAGTCGTGTCCAACTCTTTGCAACCCTATGGGCCATAGCCTGCCAGACTCCTCTGTCCATGGGATTTTTTTTGGCAAGTGGGTTCTTAAACACACTAATGCCACCTGCGAAGCCCTCTAGCTGCATTTCAGATGTTCAAGAGCAGTGTGTTACTAATGGCTATCATATTATGGTGTAGATTAAAGAACATGGCATTAATTCTGTCATCTCAGAAAGTTCTGTTAGACTGCTGGTATAATCAGAAAGCAATTTAGAGTCATCTTTTGAGGGCAGTTTATGATCACCTCATGTATACTCATCAACCACATTTATAGACTTATTTACTTAATATCAGTTCTTATATTAGAATTCCTCCTACCTGTGGATATCTGTTGTCAGATTTAGAAAACATCCTCACATTCTTATTTTTACCCAGTCGCATTCATTGCTTGGTAGCACAAAGTACCAGAGGTTATTGTTCTTAGATCTTGTTTTATTGGCTGCTATCTCCAGATTGAGTACTGTTTCAGTACCATTCCCTACTGTGTCAGGACCATAAGTGTGATTACTGTCTAGGCTGGAGGTGTCTGAACAAGGCAGGCAGTGGTGTACAGTTATCCCTTGATATCCAAGGGGGATTGGTTCCAGGGCCCTCCATGGGTACTAAAATCCATGGATGCTCATGTCCCTTACATAAAATGGCATAGTATTTGAATGTAACCTACACACATCCTCTAGTATATTTTAAATAATCTCTGGATTACTTATAATACCTAATACAATATAAATGCTATGTAAATGGTTGTCTGCAGATGGCAAAAACAAGTTTGCTTTTTAGAGTTTTCTGGAATTTTTTTTTTTTTTCATCTGCAATTGGTTGGATTCACAGATATGAAACCCATGAATATGGAGGGCCAACTATACTGGAAGATTATAGAGAACCTAGCAGTAAGACTATGTACAGTTAAAATACAGAATGAATGACAGAAGCAGAGCATCTAGGAAGTAAGAAGATTTGTATATTTGCATCACTTTTCTAATCCTAGTCACAATTACCATTTCAAATTCTACTGTACTAAAATCCATGTATGTCAGAGTAGATAGCCAGAAGTGCTGTAATATCTTCCAGCCCTTCACTGTGGAATCGTCCTAAACTTAAACTGAATGGAAAACAAAAACCCAAGACTTAAGGGCCAAGTGGCTTTTCCCAGTGGACCAGAGAACCAAAATTGTTGCATGCCATATGCCTAATATGGCTCTAATATAGCTCTAATATAATGGGAGTCCACAAAAGGGGTAATTTGTGCTTCCTGATAAAATGGGATTCATCTTTACCAATTTCTTTTTTAAGTCTCCTTGAGGTTCCAGTATAGTCCAGCTTAGGAACTGTTGATCATAAGATCATGGAATGATTTTCATAAATACAGCTTTTTAAAATAATGTGCTTTTTCTGTTGTAGTCTGATATGCATGGTACTTTGACATTTGTTCTGATTCCCAGTCAACAGATCAAGCCTCCTCCTGCCAAAGAAACAGTAGTAAGTGATTTTTTTTAATGCTCCTTATTTTATGATGGGTACTGTTTATATTTTTCTTAATTAATAAACTTTATTTTTTGAGAGTAGTTTTAGGTTCACAGCAAAATTGAGCAGAAAGTATAGAGTTCCCACATAATTCCTGCCCCCACACATGCACAGCCTCCCTTGCTGTCAACATCCCACATCAGAATGGTATATCTGTTACATTAGAGAGTTGATGGTTTCATTATTACCCAATGTTCATAGTTTTCTTTAGGATTCACTTTTGGTGTTGTACTACATTCTATGAGTTTTGACAAATGTATAATTACATATATCTGCCATCATAACCTACAGAATCATTTCGTTGGCCTAAAAATCCTCTATGTTCTGCTTATTCATCACTTCCTCCCTGCTTGACTCATGACAACCACACTGTCTTGACTGTCCAGTTGTAACTGTTGCTTCTTGACCTGCATGTGGTCTCTCAGGAGGCAGGTAAAGTGGTCTGGTACTCCCATCTCTAAGAATTTTCCAGCTTTTTGTGATCCACACAATCAAAGGCTTTAGCATAGTCAGTGAAGCAGTAGTTGTTCTTCCGGAATTCTCTTGCTTTTTCTATGATTCAGTGGATGTTGGCAATTTGATTTCTGGTTCTTCATCCTTTTGTAAATCCACCTTGAACATCTGAAAGTTCATGGTTCACATACTATTGAAGCCTAGCTTGGAGAATATTGAGCATTACTTTGCTAGTGTGTGAGATGAGTCCAATTGTGCGATAGTTTGAACATTCTTTGGAATTGCCTTTCTTTGTGGGATCTTAGCTTGCTGACCAGGGATTGAACCTGCACCTACTGTATTGGAAGGCAAAGTCTTGACCACCAGGAAAATCCCCTCTTCTCCCTATAGGAGACTTAATAACTCTCTAAAGTCTGGGAGCATGAATGAAGTCTTGATTTGGGGGGTCTGGGCTGGGAGAATAGAGATATAGTTTTAGGAGAATTTAAAGACTTAATAGAATACTAAAATAATAGTTCAGGGAAACAAAGCATAGAATTAGCCATTAGCCCAGTGGTATTAATAATTGAAATATTAAGGGTCCCAAATAGTTTTTTTCCTTACAGTGAATATCTGCTTGATCCCATTTGTGTACTAGGCACTGTGCAAATAAATGTTCACTCACTTTATAGTAATGAATGTGTTATAGTTTGGGGTAAATGTTGAGATGGAAATCAGTAAATATAAACACTGAGAATAAAAAAAGAGGTGTGGGGTTGATTATATAAGGTTGGCAGGAAAGGCCTCCAGGAAAAGGTGACATGAAGCTGAGACCTGGTAGGATGAGATGAAGCCAAGCCTATTAACTGCCAGAAGAAGAACTTTCAGGTGTAATTTCCAAAGAACTTTGTGTTTGGAAAACCCATGGGAGTGGAACCAAGTGAGGGAGTAGAAAGGTGGGGAGAGCATTCTAAGAGATGAGGCTTGAGAGGTAGGTAGGGCCAAGTTAAGTAGGTCTTGGCCATGGCAGGAAGTTTGGATTTCAAATACAGTGACATCTGATTTGTGTTTAAAAACAAAAACAACTCTGGTTGCTGGGTAGAAATTGGATTAGTAGAGCCAATAATGAAAGCAAGGAGATTTAGGAAAGTGTTGCTGAAGCCAGTATAAAGTATAATGATGGCTTAGATTTCTATGATAGCAGTGACAGTGGAGAAAATTATGCAGGCTATGTTCTGGGAGTAGCAGTGACAGGACCTTTTAATGAGTGTGGAGAGTAATGGGTAGGGAAGAAGCAAATATGCTTCAACAACTGGATGAATAGTGGTGCTGCTTACTGAAGTGCAATGTGGAGGAAAAACTGGTTTGGGGAGAAAAATCAAGAGGGAGATGCCTGAGAGGCATTCGGGTGTAGATACCAAATCGATAGAATTAAATACGTTGTTGAGTTGCTAAGTCATGTCTGATTCTTTTGCAACCCCGTAGACTGTAGCCTGCCAGGCTCTTCTGTCCATGGGATTTCTCAGGCAAGAATACTAGAGTGGGTTGCCACTTCCTTCTCCAGGGGATCATCCTGACCCAGGGATTGAACCGGTGTCCCCTCCGTTAGCAGACGGATTCTTTGCTACTGAGCCATCATTCTGGAATTCTACAGAGAGATCCAGGCTGTACTTATATTTATTGTGGGGAGATCAGATCAAGGGAGCAGTCTGTTTATATATACTTCATGTGTTTGCAAAATATTCTAAAGATTTTTAAAAATGATAGGTTAAGGATTTTTCACAGCCTATGAAGATAATTGGGTTGAAAGAAAAGATTGAGAACCACTACCATCCAATATACTTTTCTCTTAGAAGTATAGAATGTATTATATAATTTTCACCTTAATTTTTTTCTCATTTGGAAGAAGATCTTAAGTTTTATAATGCAGTAAAATGTTTATAAATATATATTTTATCAGAAGGTGAAAAATATTAATATTAATTTCAGTGGACAGTATGGACAGTGAACAGATGGACATCTCTCTTCAGGATCAAACAGTTGCTTTATTTGCTGTTGCCCTCAGGTTCACTTTTTTGTCTGCCTACTACTAAACATCAATTGGAAACCCACTGATACCCCAAATTTCTCCTGTTAAATATGGAAAAGAACAAGTAAAGATCTTACTTTTGGGGCTTCCCTGGTGGTCTGTCCAGTGGTTAGGAATCCACCTTGCAATGCAGGGATCACCGGTTTGGTCTCTGGTCAGGGAAGATCCCACAGCCGCAGGGCAGCTGAGTCCACAAGCCCTAGAGCTCGTCCTCCAGAACAAGAGAAGCCGCCACAATGAGACGCCCCTGAGCTGCAGTAACCCCCATTTGCTGCAACTAGAGAAGGCCCAGTGTAGCCATAAATAATAAATAAAATTATTTTAAAAACTATTCCTTCTTGAATGGGCGTCAGAGAGGAGAAATCTTAGAATGAAGAGGAGGAATTTAAAAACTGTTGCTTGACATTGCAAAGGCTTTTCTTGATGCTGCCTTAGTATTCATTTATTTTTTACTTTGTTGGGTCTTTGTTGCTGCATAGGCTTTTCTCTAGTTGCGGTGTACAGGCTTCTCTTGTTGTGGAGCACGGGCTTTAGGACAAGTAGGCTTCAGTAGTTGGGGGCTCTCGGGCTCTAGAGCACAGGCTCAGTAGTTGTGGTGCTTGGGCTTAGTTGCTCCAAGGTATGTGGGGTCTTCCCAGACCAGGGATCAAACCTGCATTGGCAGGTGGATTCTTAACCACTGAGCCACCAGCGAGGCAAAGAGAAAAATGTTGGGTTGGAAGATAATTGTGTCTAAACAACCCTGTAATTTAAAATTTAAACAAATGATTTTGTTTGAATTAGAAACCAAACATTGTTTTGGTCAGATATACTGTACTGATGCTACTGCATGGTGAAGCCCTGGAGCTTTCCTGTAGGGGTCAGAGTCTCTCCTTCATTTAAAAAGGACTCTGTTTTCCTTTGTATGGGAAAGGAAAAAAAGTAGCCACTACCCTGAACTGAAGAGGTAAGACTGCTGGATGTAACTTCTAGAACTGATAAGAACTGCAGTGGAATGCCTGTAGGCATACTTAAGGGATATTGCAGGTTCCGTTCCAGATCACTGAAATAAAATGAGTCATACAAAGTTTTTGTTTTCCCATTGCATGTAAAAGTTATAATTACATTGTTCTGTAGTTTGCGAAGAGTACAATTGCATTGTGTCTAAACAAACAACAAATATACACTTATTTAAAAATACTTTATTGCTTAAAAATGCTAACCTTCATCTGACAACACAAGGTTGCCACAGACCTTCAATTTACATATATATATACACACACACACACACATATATATATCTGCAAAATGCAATAAAGTGAAACACAATAAAACAATACATGCCTATATATAGATAGAAGTCACAAAAAAGTCACATAGTATGTGTTAAGGCAATACTCAGACTTTAACTCAGTCAGTTGGTTAATTTCTCTGGTGTGAAATAAACTTTGCTCTCAGTTTTAGAGTACATTTTAAACAGCACTAAGTAAACTTGTCACATAAACAAAGTATGTCCTCTCTTTTCCTCTTCCAGTCAACACAACAAGGGTCCCATTCCAAACCAACTAAATCTGAATGGTCAAGCGGTGATACCTAAGCAAGAATAGGGAGAAAAACATCTCTGGGTGATTTTGTCTGCCTCTGGCAAAGGTCATAGACTTAGATACAGCATCTTCACTGGTCTATTTAGTTTTCCTCAGGATAATAATTCCCTAAGATTTTAGGGTACATCTTAAATGGCATGTATGTAGCAATTATCCAAGGAACTTAATTAAGATACAGAATCTGAAAGTTTGAGATGTGGTATAAGAAGTCAGTATTTTAATAAACTTCCCAGTAAGTGTTCTGAGCAAAACACTTTGAAAACAGCATGCTGGGTATTGATTTCAGAAAGTGATTTGATAAAGTCATCCATCAGGTTGACAAGAAGTCTGATTTCATAGATCTCTGAAAAGCCTGATAATAAAATGAACTCCCCACCACAATAAATAATGCCTATAGTTTCATATGTAGATTTCCAGGATTGTTAAGCTAAAAAGCAACAATTTAAATAGATGTGGAAGCATTATTGATTAATAGGAATAGTACAAGCAGAGATTTTTTTTATCATCCTATATATTATATGCTTCTCATGCCAAGGTTATAAAATTCTATGTATAATCTTTTTACCTAGTCTCTCAGCTGTGTTTTAACTTACTACTACCGTGTATAACTCTAAAATTCAATTTTATCAGATTTCATATAATCTGCAGATTTTGGAAATGCCACATGCCACTTGACCAGGTTGGATAAAAATTACAGATAGGAATTAAGGAGAATATTGATTCCTTTATACCTTTTAAGAAGTAAGGATACTTCGTTATAACTTACAGAAGTATATTGGAGAAAATACTGTAGGAAATAATTGGGCTTTTAATAAGGTTCATGTGAATTCTTACCTATTTTTAGTGCTGAGAGCATAGCAGGTTTTAGATACGCAAAGCACAGTTAGCAAAAATTTTAGCTTGTAGCACTAACAATATTTTCAGTGCCTACATACAGAACATGGTAGGAATTGGTTATAAACTTGATTTAGGTAATTTTAGCAGTTTGGGGTTGATTATATATGAACCTAGACATAGTCCTTTAGAATAGACTCGGAGTGACCAAGGCACAGTGGCACTGACAGTGTGGTTAAGAAGAGATGATGGCACCAGGGAACCTGACACTTACCTGCTTAGATGACCGATGTGGAGAGGTTTACAGTTTACCTTTCCTGGTAATAGTGGTTTAGAAATTACATACCTTACTGCAGAGTCATTGTTTTCACAAGTCAGGAATGGAGAGGGAGGGACTCTGTTATATTCCTTCTGCTTCTGTCAAATTTTTAAGGCCTTGTTGGCATTTCAGCTTGTTAGCAATAACAGTGCAGTGTTTTGCATACTCTTGTACATGTTTGCAATCAACAGGACTGTCTTAATTGAAGAAAACAGATGAGTCTGAAAAAAATTCTGCCCTCAAATACAATTACTAACCTAACTTGATTTTTTTTCAACTTGTAATATCTTTGTGCTGATGAAAAATTTATAACACTCACATTTATGCTAAACATTGTGTTGCCATTTCATTATTGTCCTTACTTTTACCCTTTTTATTGTTTAGATCCACGTAAAGGCTCATTTTGACTACGACCCCTCAGATGACCCTTATGTTCCATGTCGAGAGTTAGGTCTGTCTTTCCAAAAAGGGGATATACTTCATGTAATCAGCCAAGAAGATCCAAATTGGTGGCAGGCCTACAGGGAAGGAGATGAAGATAATCAGCCTCTAGCTGGGCTCGTTCCAGGTAAAAGACAGTATGGTAGAAAGTACAAAGTTTAAAAACACATTTAAAATACAAATCTTCAAAGGGAAAAACTCACTTTTTTATGCCTTTTAAAAAAATGATGTAGTTACTTTTTCATTCTGTTGGGTTTTTATGTTGTATCTAATATAAGTATCTTGGTGTAAGTCTGACCACTTTGTTGGGCTTTAGGATGGGATTATCATATAATCTCATCAACCACTCCCATTTGTCCTACTGTTCACTGTAGGTGCATTGAAATTAACCCTGTTTTCAAGGCAACAAAACTTATACTATAGCAAGAGATTATCATCAACTGGGGCATCATACTTGATATCTAGATAGGAATTTGTTAAAGATGTGTGACTTTATTCGGAATCAAAAGAGTAAGACTGCTGAATTTATCTCTTCTAAGATATCTTAGGGTAGAAATAAGATGCATCTATCTTTTCATTGAAGAAAACTCTAATTTAGACTATACTAAAATAAAATTAGCTCATATTGGACATTAAGATTATTATAGAAACATATTTCTCCTAAAGTGTGAAGATGATACTTAATGGAATTAGATATGTAGATGTAATTTTTCCTACAAACTGTTTCTACAGTTCTCAGGAGGGTATGGTAGAATGAGAGAAATAAAACCAAGGGAAGTATACTAAGATATTTAATGTGTAAATTATTAAAATTATTTTGTTATTTTTTCTAGATCTGTTATAGTCACATACTTTTAAAAAAATTTAGTGCTCTTAAAAATTTCCCTATAGCTGTAGTTACTTGTTTTATCTAGAAACACAATCAGTCTGTACAGTTGCTGAAGATAACCTGATTTTCCTTAATGCTTTTTATGTGTCTCAAACTCAATATTAACCTTTTTTGCTTGTGGTCTTATAAAATGCACTAAGTTCAACAGACTATTCCAACATAGATGGAATTTACTTAGTGATTTTTTTAAGAATCTCTGGCCTGAATTGGAAAGAATTAGATATAAAAATTAAGTATAAAAGTAGAACTCTAATTCAGAATTTTCTAATGAAAACCACTTTTATCCTTCAGAAAAAATATACTTGATTCTAAGGTAAATCTCTGAAAATAAGATGAAAATCAGAAACCTTGAAAGCTTCCTATATTGAAATCATAACCCTAAGTGGAAAAATATAACAGGTTTTTCATTTATTTCTATCATGGGTAGCTTAAGGTAGAAATGAAAAATCTTTAAAACATATACATACATACAAAGAAAGAGAGGAATTGAACACAGTAAATGTAAGAGAATATATTGAATGGTGTCTTTGAATCAAAAACTGATGAATTTTATGTAATTTTGGAAAGATAACTCTTAATTTGTTTGATTTGCAATAATTCAAATGATCAGAACCATTGTAAGATCCAGCACAGTACTTTCCACATCAGTTCATTTCAGTTGCTCAGTGTCCAACTCTTTGCGACCCCATGAATTGCAGCACGCCAGGCTTCCCTGTCCATCACCAACTCCCGGAGTTTACTTAAAGTCGTGTCTATCAAGTCGGTGATGCCATCCAGCCATCTCATCCTCTGTCGTCCCCTTCTCCTCCCACCTTCAATCTTTCCCAGCATCAGGGTCTTTTCAAGTGAGTCAGCTCTTTGCATCAGGTGGCCAAAGTACTGGAGTTTCAGCTTCAGCATCAGTCCTTCCAATGAACACCCAGGACTGATCTCCTTTAGGATAGACTGGTTGGGTCTCCTTGCAGTCCAAGGGACTCTCAAGGGTCTTCTCAGAGTAGATGCTAACTGGAAAGCTTTGTAAATACTGAACTATTAAAACTTCTAGCCTGTGTTTATTATTTATCTTTGTAAATACGTGATATGTAGTCTAGTAATACATGTCCTAGGATTGAGTGAGAGCCACGTTGGTACTTAACACCTTAAACATTTGGAGTTTATAATCATAGTTGACATACTCTCATGCAGTGGCAGGAGGATTCAGAAGGGAATATAAATGAACAGTTACTTCTGGTGTCGTCCCTTAGTTTAAAAAAAAAACTCAGCTATCCTTTTGTCTTAACTGTTTCACTCTTTTTCTTCTCTATTTATTAGGGAAAAGCTTTCAGCAGCAAAGGGAAGCCATGAAGCAAACCATAGAAGAAGATAAGGAACCAGAAAAATCAGGTTGGACTCTTAGATTTGACATTAATGAGAGGTTTCTTGGGTTTCCATCTGGAATCAGGTTTAAATTTGCATATCAGAACTGTCAGGGAAGATGTATTCATGGCAAGATGGATGTGAGAAGCAAACCTGCTTATCTCAGGACTGTTAAGAAAAGACAGGATTTAAGTATTAAAGATTATCTTTCTATAATGTCAGATTAATGGAAAACTTTTAACTACTTCCCTGAAAAATCATTATTCTATGAACAATGTAATACATGTCTATAAATTTAAATTTAAAACTATTTGAGTTCTTCAATTTGAAATATGTATTTATTAAGGAAAACAAATACCACATTTATACTTATGTTTCTGTCAACAGGAAAACTATGGTGTGCAAAGAAGAATAAAAAGAAGAGGAAAAAGGTTTTATATAATGCCAATAAAAATGATGGTAAGTTCCACTCTCAGATATAGCCATATTTATATCCAAAAGAGGTCCATGTCTAACATTTGAAAGAAATTAAGTGGTATTTTTAGAGAATTTTAACTATGGTCCTGGCCTCTTAATGTAACATGTGTGTGTATTTAGTAAAGTCATTTAGCAGAAATTATTTTCTTCTAGAAACCTGTGAGTAGTGCAGAATTTTGAAATCTGAGAAAAAGTAGTATAAAAATTAACAGTATGATGTAGCTGTATAGTGTTGTATTGATAGTTTTCTCTTAAATTTTTTTCCTATGTAAACTCTTCATTTACAAAGTTAATACTTACTTGTTCCTAACAAAGACTAACAACAATATATGTATTATAGTATTAATAATAATTATATCATTAATAATTATTAATATAATTACATAATAATTATTAATAATAATTAATAAGATGTATTTTAAGTAAAAAATGAACATTTTGCCTATCGTAACTCATCTCACCTAGGCAACCCATTTCATAAAGTCTGCTGGCTGAGTCAGGCACACAGGAGAGTGTTTTGTTTTAATTTATTGTTAGTGTTAAAAGTTTTTCAAGTTTTAGCTTCTCTTAAAATCAGAAGTTCTGATAACACTGGGTTTATATCCCCGTGTGTCAGCGGCCTACTGAACCTGAATGATGGCTGTTGCCTTTATAGTGGACACCTATCTAGTTCAACAGTCTCCACCATGTCCAATTTTTTATAAACCTAACCTGATATATTGCTTTCATTACCTTCTTGATTGGTCTTTATGGGTTTTAAAATTTGCTACCCCTTCTTTAATTCACATTAGAAACAAGCCAAATAATAAAGGAAAGGAACTGTGTAACTTCCTACACAGTTTATAAGGCTTATTTTTATTCTCTAGTACCTTAAAAGTTTTTGGCAGCATAAATGAAACTAATGAAATGTTATAGATTATTGAAAATTTTGATATCAACTAAACCTGAGATTCTACCTACTATAATAAATTTTTTTTCCAAATTAAACATCCTTAATGCTAATTGATAGATTATGTAACTAAGAATATTTATTGGATTTATAATTTTCTCTATACTTGAGTATGTGATTAATATCTGTTTCTTTATCCTTTGAAACTCACTGGAGTTAACTGGTTCAGCTCTAAATGCTATTATACTATAGGAAATTTGCAAATCTAAGTCTGTGAATCAATATATTTCCACAGTCTGATTTTACATGTTAGAAGAAGGAACTTAGATTTTTCAGAGGGAAAAGCATTTTGAGAAGGAAATGCTTCACATTTACATTTCTGCTTATAATTTGTTATTAAAATTAATATTTTTATTAATGATAATTATCATTTATAATAACTATTCCATTCACGGGGAAATAGCCTTCATTCATTTAGTTCTCAAAATAAATTCCTTGAGATTACAGATTAGTAAGTTCAAGTTCAGATATGAAAATCACCTGTTTAAGTTCTTACAGCTAATACATGGTTGAGTTGGAATCTAAACAAGTAAAGTTTGAGTTCCTACTGTGTGCTCTGTGTTAATCACAGACAAGCTTAAGATGGTCCCCTCTCCCTTGGAACTTAGCTGACAGTCTGACTACACATCTAACGCTCTTACCTAGTCAGGTGAAGTAATGAGAGTGAGAAGATGACAGGTCACTGGTTGTCTGCCTTTGTTCTTACCGCATGACAACTCTGATTTCATCTGGATTACAGCTTTAGGAATGTTAGTGTGCCAGTTATCATTTGTACCTCTTCTTGAATCATGATCACAGGTTAGTATTAGTATTCCAGAATAAGGCAAACATAAATGTAGGAAGTTGGATAGCATAGGTATGCTATGTTTTCAAGTTATATAATCAGAGAAAAGTACTCCAGTGTTGTCTGTTAACCCTAGTCGCAGCACTGTTTGTAAATGTTTATCTGTGCCAGGTATTGTTTTCAGCATACACATTTTCTGCTCTTTAAACCAACCCTAAAATTAAAGTATTGGTATCCCCCATTTTGTAAAAATGACAGATCTTATTCTCATTAGTTTATACCTTAGTGCCTCACTCTGTCAAAATATTGTCTGCAAACTAGCTATTTTATATGAACCAGTACAGTTATATTGTGTTAAATATTCAAACACAGTGTGAAACAAGAGAAGCAGTAATCATTTCTAGAAGGAGTAATACACTATTTGATTTATTTTCATAATATCCTGCCAATGATATAATGACATGAGAAAATACTTATGATATAATGCTACACAGTTATTACTTTCTTGATCTCAAAAGTTGTGTTTTTAACCATGATAACTTGTGCTGTTTTCCAGTTTTTTGGAAGAACTATGGGTATATATAAATATACCTTTATATATTTATATAAATATGTTTATATAAAATATATCTTTATTATACAGCAGTAATTCTGTCTGATGGGCTTAATTTTTCCTTTTTTAAAGATTATGACAATGAAGAAATCTTAACTTATGAGGAAATGTCACTTTATCATCAGCCAGCAAATAGGAAAAGACCTATCATTTTGATTGGTCCACAGAACTGTGGCCAGAATGAATTGCGTCAGAGGCTCATGAACAAAGAGAAAGACCGCTTTGCATCTGCAGTTCCTCGTAAGTTTGGATGCATTCCCATTTTTCTGTGCATTTCAGTTTACCACTTTAGAACCTAACTGTGTAGGGAAAGTTTTCACCCATTTCCTCAAGACAGTGATGTCCAAGAAATAGGAACTTTGTTTTTACCAAATCTTTTGAGAATTTGCTACTAAAGATAGTCATTCTTGAGTACCATTTTTCTGAGAGTATGGTACTAATTACTTTCTATAAATGAATTTCAATTTTGGCTTCTTATAATCCACTGTTCAGCATGGAATCAGCTCCTGTTTTTTTTTAACTGATGCAGAAGATAGAACTTTAGACCTAATCTCTGAGCATAGAATTTCTGGTACATAGGTACATTGTATAGTACCTAATCTTATGGAAAAATTGAGTGATAATGTTTTAAATGAAATGCAAAATAAACTAATTTAGAGTGTGAGTATAAAACATATTAAATGTAACTGTTACTAAGATACTAACACCACAGTTTGTTTATTTCTCAATCTAGAAATAAAACCAGTCAATGTTAAAACACACAGGGGTCTAACATTTCCTTAATTCATTATTTTTTAATTTGTATTACAAAATAAAATTTTTTTCTGACTAGCAGAATTATTCCTCACCCTTGTTCTGATCTGTGCTTACTAATTTTGCCTGATTTTGTTTGCCTAGATACAACTCGGAATCGGCGAGACCATGAAGTAGCTGGTAGAGATTACCACTTTGTTTCACGGCAGGCGTTTGAGGCAGACATAGCAGCTGGAAAGTTCATTGAGCATGGTGAATTTGAGAAAAATTTGTATGGAACCAGTATAGATTCTGTTCGCCAAGTGATCAACTCCGGCAAAATATGTCTTTTAAGTCTTCGTACACAGGTAAAACTCTTTTGGTTTAGAGTGTTGAACTTGTATTTTGGTCCAAGAATCACAGGACCTAATTAAGTTCTCATACAGATTTTTCACACTGATTCTCTACATGAACTCAGGTTGCTAAATCACTTTCAATTTCCTCAGAGTGGAAAAGACATATATTACATACTTGCCTATATATAAATGTACATATTTTTGGAAACTTAAAATACAGTAACTGTTGTGCTGGTAGTACTTTAGTATTTTAAAGGTTATAAAATAATTTTCCTTTCCCATATGAGAAAAATTAGAATAGTGAGAGGTCATTTTTATGGTTTTAAATGCCATCATTCAAGTATTAGCACTGTAATGAGTGGTTGGTTGTATCTAATGAAACAGCCATTGCTTTCCATTATCTGTCATACAAAGCAAAACCTTCAAAAATTACTAACAATTGCTTTTTAGATTTCTGTTAATTTTAGAAATTTTGTATTTTTAAGATCGTGTTTGTTGTGATTTTTTTTTTTCTTGATTGTACAGCTTTAGCATAAAACTTTCCTTAATGTGGTGGAATCTACTTTGTATGTCAACTCAGGAGATATAGACAGTGGTTATTAAAGAGATGTATACGAGAGAAAATTGACTCCAAAATGGCTTTCCTGAAATAGTAATTAGGTTTTATTTTTCAGTTAACAAAAGAGCTTATTAGTCTTTGCTATTCAATTATAAACATTAGATTTAAGAAAAGCATCCGTGTTTTTATTTTTACTAAATTCCTTAAGAATTCTTTATTTTGGCTAACAGAATTACCAAAGAACTTAAGAGTAGTTAAGCATATTGTCTTAATTACTGTTTTTAGATAGAAAAGGACATGTCCATATAATCCCCCTTTTTGTGGAATGCTTCACTTTAGGGACACAGAGTTATGCAAAGGCACGGTGAAAAACTATAGTCTTTTAATTCAGACAGTCTGCTTTTTTTTTCTTGGATGTATTTTTCCAGAATTTTTTTTTTGGCATGTGTATGGGAAGTTTTTCTCTGATTCTTTTTGCATTTAGATTGTGGCATATGGTTAAGGTGACTGCTCATTTATAATTCCTTCAAAATGGATTTTTAATGTTGTTATAATCTGTGTATGATCTTACTAGCAGAGTATTTTATCATCATGTTAAGTCTTCATTTCACTTTTGGTACACAATATATTCTTATATTGAATGGTAGGATCTTTTCTTTCTGTTTTTTGTTTTTCTTTCTTTGAGTTTTTCTTTGAGTTTTTAAATTATGAAAGTATGATAACACATCTATAGGAGACTGGAAAATACATGACAAAGTTACATATAGTTCTATATATTACAATTATTTTTTTAAATAGATAAATCAAGGTTTTTAGTTGGAGTTTCAGTATCAAACTCTCAGATCTGTCTTTGCTTTACAGTCCTTGAAGACTCTACGGAACTCAGACTTGAAACCATATATTATCTTCATTGCACCCCCTTCACAAGAAAGACTTCGGGCATTATTGGCCAAAGAGGGCAAGAATCCAAAGGTAAAGTTATTATACTGTTACACTACTCCATTAAAAGTAAACATGAAAAGCCACGGCTTAATATGTCACAGTGCTTAAAAACTACATCAGCTTAGGCTTTCAAACTGATTATTCTTTCTGCCATGTCACTTTCCCCAAAACTGCCATACTCTCCTCTGGTTGGATTTAGGCAGTTCTCCAAAGCAAGGAGCTTCTCTTGTTCTGCATACAGTTCCTGTTGTATTCCAAATGTATGGTAGCCTTTGACATTTCTTAAAACTTGCGTCGTCTTCACACAGATCCATGTTATTTCTGATTTCTTAAAACTTCCGTGTCCTCTTCACACAGATCCATGTTATTTCTAACAAGGATTAGATGACACCTTCTCTCTACCAGATATTCTCAGCAGATTCTTAGGGATTAACCCACATTCTCTGCAGATACTTCATATATGCCGGGATCCAAAGTTGAGTGCTCTTGGCTTTCTCTTCTTTTTTCTGATTGAAATTTTATGTTCTGTTTGTCTTCTGCCTTTTATCTTTTCATATGATCTGAAATGGAAAATTTTTTTAAATTATCTTATATTAGATGCTGAGTGTGATTGAGGTGGTCCAAATTATACCAAATGGTACTAAAAATTGAATGATACCATTTTAAACGTATGATATGAAAACCATCAAGTGACATGCTATATCACAGTAACAAATACTCTTCCTTGTTCTTAGCAGATTCCCTAAATGGTTCTATTTTATAAAGGAATCACTTAGAGCTCATTTCATTTGCCTTGCCTCTAAATTTCCTTAAAAGCTATGTGTGTGTGTGTGTTGTGTCCGACTCTTTGTGACCCCATGGACTGTAGCCCACCAGGCTCCTCTGTCCATGGGATTCTCCAGGCAACAATACTGGAGTGGGTTGCCATTTCCTTCTCCATAAAAACATATACTACTCCTCCTCCCCTCAAATCTCCTTAGAAGTCACAACATAACACCTGTCCTTTTCTTTGGTTTTTGACTATTGACCATATCCACCAGCCTTCTTTGTTCCTTCCCAGGATATCTTTTTCTACTCTAGAAAAAGATTTGTTTTATAAACAACCTATATGGTGTTTATTTTTCAATGTCTTAGACATCAGGGACTTCCCATCCTTTATATTGAGCATAGCTCGGTTGCTTTGTTACAGACGAAGGCCAGCTGGTTAAAGTCATGTTTCGTTGCGTTTTCATTTTTGAAGTCACAAAAGACCGTATTTGACATGATTGCATTATTTGGAATGTCCAGAATAAGCAAATCTATGGAGATCAAAAGTAGATTAGTGGCTGCTTAGGGCTGAGGGTTGGGAGAAAATGGGAGAGGCTGCTGTTGACCATGAGGTTTGGGGGGGAAGGGGAACAGGGCACGGAGAGTGGAGGGTGATTGTTCTAAAATGGATTGTGGTGTTGATTGCACAACTTCTCTGTGACTACAAAAAACTGTTCAAGTGTACATTTTAAGTGAGTGAACTGTATGAGTCCACCATTGAATTGGTTGCAGTTCACCATTAAACGGGTGAATTGTGAATGAATTATATCTGAAGAAATCTGTTATTAGGGCAGAAAAAAACCGCAGTGGGCTTTTCTATAGACATTGAAGGTTGTTTTAGAATTTGTGTGGAAATTTTAAAGAATAACCAAAACACTTTAGAAAAAAGTTGGAAGCCTTTTTGTTTTCTTTATTGTTTGTTTTCCATTTCATTGAGTTACCTTATTTTTATTCTTCCTTTATACTTACTTTGGCTTTAATTTGCACTTGCTCTTCATCTCTGAAGAAAACGTGATTTTTAAACCTTTTCTAATACGAAGTTATATATTTTTCATTATCATTTTGTTAGAAATATTTCCTAATTTCCTCTGTCATTTTCTTTCTTTAATCCATGGGTTATTTAGAAGTATCTAATTTCCCCCTATTGGAGATTTTAGAATGTTTTATTGATGTATAATTTCATGGTGGTAAGAGAACATATTCTGTAAGATGTCAGTCTTTCAAATTTTGTTGTCTTATTTTATGACCCAGTATCTGTTCTGTCTTGGCGCATGTTCCTGCACACCAGTAAGAATGTATATTTTGCAGCTGTTGGGTAGAGGGTGATGTATCTGATTGCTTTTTATGTTTTATCTCCTTTGGTAATTAATAATGCTTATCACACAATAGAAGTGTTAAGTAAAAACTGATCCTAAATTTTAACTCTGTGAAATAGTGTTAGCTAAGAAAGTAATGGTGTTCTTCATTGAATGCACAACTTAATATCAGTTATCTTGTTACATTCTGAATCTGGTTTTGCTATAATGGGGTCTTAAGAGTGGTAAACTAATAGTGTGGATTATTATGGTCAATTTTGCCTATAGATAATTTTTTCAGGCCAAAGATTTTTGAGCAAAATCATTTTGTTTCAATTTTGTCATGAATTGTAGAAGAATTAAAATATAAAGTGCCAACTAAATTATATGTCATTTTTGGCAAAAAAAAAAAAAATACTTCAATTTGATAAGGAAAAATTTAGGATTAGATACTCATGTGAATCTATGTAAGATGTGCAGCTCAACATTTACATTTCAAATCTAGTAACACAAAGTTTAGATTCTGAGTTCTAGAATGTTCTTTCAGTAACCTTGAGCTTTGGGTAAACATAAGTTGTGACCAGAACATCACAGTGTGTTCAATTACAATAGTGTAGTAGCTTCCTGCTGGGAAACAAAGGATTCTGTGTGCCAGAGCCAGCTGCACAACATTCCAGAATGAAAATTAGCCACACAAGAAACCAACTCAGGACAAGCCAGAGCTATCATATTTTTCGTATGTTTTCCTACTGTTATAAAAGTTTGACTGGCTGAATGATATAAATTGCTTGATATTGTGGGTCCAGTATATTTTGGATGTATTGCCTCTATGACTGAGACATGTGGACATTTAATTAGTTCTCTTCATTGATGGGGTGCTTTGGGGGCAGTTTCACTTTCTTGGACACCTGTGCTTGATCATCAGAGGGGTTCTGGGTAAGTTTTGCATATTACCTTGCCATCTGCTTGTCTGTGAAAACACTTGTTTCTTTTTCATGTTAAAGTAGCCTGCTGTATTTGGCTTCCCAAACTCTCTTAGGATACTTGTTTTTGCATCTTAAAAGACCTCCTTTGTGTATTGGAATTGTCTCTCAACTTAAAGCATTAGACTATTTCCCAAAAAAACATAGATTATTAAAATCTTGGATTTCCAGCATGTTTTCATTAGAAAAAGATGCCCATTCTATTGATCCTTTTCTCATGGTATTTACTCTTCTAAACTCGACAACAGATATAAAAGGCAGGGGCTCTTTATAAGAGCCAGTATAGGTGGTATTTAGGGTCCTACCAGAAAGGTTCACTCTGTTACAGAAGACATTTTAGGAAGAGGTTATGATGACCTAAAATGTTTGAAAATGAGTGTCTGTAGAGAATTCAGAGTTAACAGTCTGTGCTCTTGAAGCCTCTTGTCTTGTGGATAAGACAGAAACACATAAAACCTACAAAGCAGTATAAATAGGTTATGAAAAGAAAGTGAAAGTCACTCAGTTGTGTCCGACTCTTTGTGACTGCATGGACTATATAGTCCATGGCATTCTCCAGGCCAGAATACTGGAGTGGGCAGCCTTTCCCTTCTCCAGGGGATCTTCCCAACCCAGGGATCAAACCCAGTCTCCCACATTGCAGGCGGATTCTTTACCAGCTGAGCCACAAGGGAAGCCCATAAATAGGTTATATACGATATGCTGAGTCACAAATGATTTGCAGTGAGTGTGCTGAAGAGCCCAAAGCAGAGGGAATCTCTGTGGCCATGACAGGGTTTGGGAGGAGCTTTGAAGTTGAGTATTTTGAGAGACAGAAGGGAAGCAGTGTGTTAAGGCCACTTCTTGTTTTTCACCCATCTCTGACTCATTGTGAATTTTGGGAAGGGATGGTTTACCTCATAGTTTTTCATCTTTTCTTTGCAGCCTGAAGAGTTGAGAGAAATCATTGAGAAGACTAGAGAGATGGAGCAGAACAATGGCCACTACTTTGACACAGCAATTGTGAACTCAGATCTTGATAAAGCCTATCAGGAACTGCTTAGGTTGATTAACAAACTTGATACTGAACCTCAGTGGGTGCCATCCACTTGGCTGAGGTGAAGGAACACATTCATTCTGTAGCAGGACTGGACTTGATCTGGCAAACTGCCCATAGGAAGATAGCCCTGATACTTGAGCACGTCTCTGAGAAGGTGGCAGGCAGTGTAAACTGTAGACCTGTTCTTAAATCTTGAACTAGTGAGAAAAAAATCCCCTTAAGCAATTTGTTAACAGCAGTCTTTATTCTTTCTGTACCTGGCTTTAGAGGTTCTTGCCTCAGATGGGGATTTTAAATGGACGTTTTCAACAGAGCCGTTCTAGTTTATCCATGGTAAAAGCCTTTTAATTCTGTTTTCATCTAACCAAGTCTTTTCTGCCTAGTCATATTTCCACAAAAACGTGTATATATACACAGTGGTCTGTGTTTCACACTGCAATAAATATTAATGTTATTTAACAGTTAATTTAAGTGATTTCATGAGAATTTGGGAGTGAGGGGGAACTGTGCTTCTGTGCACTGGGCAAGACAACAGTATTTGGTTAGAAGATTGGTTTAGTCATCAGAACTACTTTAAAAAAAATGGTGCCACTTTGGTCTGGAGCTATGTTAGCATTGAATTCATTTATATGCCTCTTAATTCTTAAAAACATTCCATTAGAAGAACCAATTTTTTAGCTCGAACTTTGTGGATCAGACTTCACTGTAGACTCTGATCTAAAACATAGACAACATATGCTGATCTTTTTAAAGGTATAATGAGCTTTTGAATTTTTTTCTTAAATTGTCACAACTGATGTGGTAACTTCCTTTTCCTGATCTGCATAGTACAATAGAATGTATAAGTTATATTTTTATGAATGGCAGATATTCATATAAACTGTGTTGATTATTAAAAGTTTCTTCCTCATGATGCAGGTTTTTACATACATGAGAGGACATAGCACATTTGACGGTTTTTGCATTTTATATATGAGCACAGTATAATTTGATGACTGTGTTATATATGTAGGTAATAAACTGGAATTCTGTGATCAATATAGCTGCTGTACTGTATACTAATATTTAATAGGTTGACAAATGGTCATTAATTACATTGTTCAGCATTGGAATAAAATTATATGAGAGAAATGATATGACAGTTGACTTTGAGATCGGAAGGAAAAAATGACCTGAAAGTCATTTGAAATCATAAAACATTTAAGCTAATGGATTTTCATACTGTCTCTATAGCTTGAAGTTTTAAAAGTCAACTTCTGTAATTGGCATGGAAAGTTAATTTGTAATCTCTTCCAGGCTTAGGGGATGGTGTGGTGTGTGACAAATAACCTCAAATATGAATGTCTTGATTTTATTTTTATGATGACTACAGCTACAACAATTCTGTTTCCAAAGCTAAACACTGGAATAATATTGAATTGTCACTTATTAACATAAGCAACTTTTTAATGAGTAGTTTGTCTTGGTGTCATGTATATATTTGAGTTTTTCTCTTTTGCATAATATTATTTGAACAAATGTAGACTGTTTATATGTTGCCTTTTTCTGTTCAACTTTGTGTGGCCTCAAAATTGGCTGTAGAGTATGTCTTACACAGAAATAATGTTCCTTAGGAGGAAAGTAGCATTCCTGGGTTGAGGGAAGGAATGCCATACATACTGTCTCTTCAGGTCTGAAACACTCCAGTTTATGGCAGGAAAATGCAAAGGTCACAGTGATTTTCAGCAATGAAAACAAAGGACTGTAAGTACTAAATCTTTTCACTTTTCCAATTTACTTTCTCCTTAGGAATGAAAGGTAGTCTCTGGAATTTTGTGAGCTGCTTAGCATAACTGACAAGTGTTTTCAACCTTAAGGTCTAAAATGTAGTTTCAGTCAAATTAGAATTGAGATTTTAGGTGGTGTCAGTAAGTGGCTACCACGCTAGTCTCCTAGTTAGCCTGCAGACCACAGGGCCACACAACGGCCATGTGCTGTGGACTCGGGCATGGCTTTCACAAGCAGATTCAAGAACCCTACTGAGGCACATGCCATGCCATAATATACTCTTAAAAGTCTAAGGTGATGAGATATTTCAGGGGTCAGTGAAATCTTATGTAATTCTCTCCTTCCTCATCAGCAGTGATAGAGGAATAGAAATGTTTATGTCCCACACTTCAGTCCTAGTGATATGGATGTGCTGGTACTCATCCCAGTCCCTCCAAAGTGAAAACTGAGTTGTTGCTGACTTCTTTGAAAGAAAATAGAAAAAACCTTGCTCCCTACCTAGCTGTGCTATATACGACTCCGGCCAATTCCATTTCCTGGCCTTCTTGTGCTTCTGATTGGAGACCCCAATGTTGGGGAGGTCTTAACCACTTAACAGGAACCATACCAATAGCTAATGAAATGCACATTAGTTCAAATAAGAAAATAACCTTCTTTACTAAATTTTCTTAAGTCAGAACGAATAGAAAAGAGAATAGTTTTTAGATTAATCCAGATTTGCTTTCTATGAAAATCTAATATCTGGATTTTTTTTTCCCTTTTCTCATGGCCTAAGGAATAATTTGAATGTAATTTTGTGAATGTGTGTGGAAAATATAAACCAGGGATTTAGCCTTAATAAAGGTAACTTTTTTGACACCTGTTCTTAATCTTCCTTTGTACTTTACCTTGCCTGTATCTGCACTCTTGTTGAGATGTAATACTGCACAACATAATGTAAAAGTAAAAAGTAAAATTATGTTTCAAATTTTAAAAGCCACTGACTCTCTCTTGTGTGCTTATATCCTCTGCCATTCAAGGTTTCAACACAACTAAAATGACCCACCCATTTTCAAGTTTTGCTAGCCAAGTCCATTGGAACCTCTGGGTGAAACACAAAATTAGTTTTATTTTTCACAGTGGAAGAGTTCCCCCTATTGGCACAAATGTAGGTTCTGTTTCCTTAATTGTTTATTTAAACTATATTAAAGATAGACAAAGCTATAAGCTCTAAAAGTTTTCTAGGGAAGAAGATATGTAAGACTCAGGCAAATTCCACTACATGCAACCATGGATTTGAGAACACTGAGGGTAGGATGAGTTGTTGACAAATACACATTTCTCAAATCTTTATCCTTCCTCCCTTCCTATACCTACTCTGCATCTCCCAAAGGAGGCCAGTCATATACCAAAAAGTGTCTCACACACACACCTTGCTACCCCAGCCCCACTTTCCATTCCTAGTCCTGATCACCTGCCACCCCGTCCCTACATCTCAGATCACTCAACCCTATAAAACAAATCATCTGTCCACTACTGTCAGTATGCTAAAGTGGGGCTTCCCTGGTGGTCCAGCAGTCAAGACTTCACCTTTCAGTGCAGGCAGTGTGTAGGTTCAATCCCTGCTCGGGAGCGAACATCCCACATGCCTGTTGGCCAAAAAACCAAAACATGGAACAGAAGCGATACTGCAACATATTCAGTAAAAGATTTAAGAAAAATGGTCCACATAGAAAAAATATTCTTAAAAAAATACACTAAACCATAAAATCATCTGTACTTTTGTAAGGGAGGTTAGCCAGGGCCAGTAAGTAACAAAGGTTGATGAAGCCACAGGAAAAACCAAGGGTACTTCTCTAGCTCAGTGCTTTAAAGTTACTATAAATTCACCTAAATGAAACCACTAAAATTGGCTCTTTGCATCAACTTTTCCACTAATTTTTGCCTCCCACAGAATATACATACCACTTAAGATTCAAGGCTCTTAAAGTCAAGATACATTTGCCGTGCATTCCACCTGCAAAATGGAAATGATTGGTATTTACACTTCACTAGGGGCTTCGCAAGTGATGCTAGTGATAAAGAACCTGTCTACCACTGCTGGAGACTTAAGACTCGGGTTTGAGCCCTGGGTTGGGAAAATCCCCTGGAGGAGGGTTGGCAGCGCACTCCAGTATTCTTGCCTGGAGAATCCCATGGACAGAGTAGCCTGGTAAGTTACAGTTCATAGGGTCGCAAAGAGTCGGACACGACTGAAGCAACTTAACTTGCATGCACTAGGGTATTAGGAAGATTACGTATTAGGCAGTTCATTGTTAAACCTATTTTCAAGACTTACATACTTGATTGATAGTTTTCCAATCATTGAATTTACATTGAGTCTGAGATTTTATTTTGTAGGTAGCAAAAGGATTTCCTAAAAATCAGCTCTTCCAGGACAGGCCTTATGTGTTACCTTTACTCCAAATTTTAAATGTAGGAGAGGCAAAAAAGAAGAATGTAAAAATTCTGGACTTCGATTACCTGGATTTAAATGGGACTCACCACTTTCTAGCTTTTTAATCTAGGACCACTCAAACTTCTTACACCTCAAAATTTTCTGTGAAACATGGGATTAAAATAATAAGTACCTCTTATGGTGGTTGTGATGAAATGATATAAATAAGGTTCTAACTGGCACAACTAAGTTACTTTGTAGCAGGTGTTAAATGTTCACAAAAACTACCTGGTTAATTTAAAAACCAACAGGGGCTTCATGGTAGAGTCCACCTGCAGTGCAGGAGACCTGGATTCAACCCCTGGGTTGGGAAGGTGCCCTGGAGAAGGGAATGGCTACTTACTCCTGGAGAATTCCATGGACAGAGGAGCCTGGTCCATGGGGTCGCAAAGTCGGACAAGACTGAGCGACTAACACATGCTTTTAAAAGCCTAGGCTGTGATACCAGTTTATTTAAACACAGTACTAGTAAGGCTAGTGTTGTAGTTTCATTAACCAAAAACTGCTCCATGGCCAATGTCAAAAAACCCCTGGAACTGACTGCAGGAAAGCCTGAATAATCATGGATGACTCACACCAAATCAAGCTACTAAAAAACCTCCGTCACCTGATACAGCCATATTACTCGCAAATGGGAATTCATATTTTTTTCTTAGATTAGCAATAGCAATATCAATAAGCTCTCTTAATTCTCTGGCAATCATGTATTTATCAGTACCCCCAAATTCAACAATCATCTCAGTAAGTTTATAAGTAAAACACTGAAATCTGAAGGATGGCGGAAGGCAGACTCCCACTTCATGGAGGAAGCTCTTTTTGAATGCCAATCCCATGTGCCAATCTGAGCATAAGAACACAATTTACTCTTAACAGTAAATTCATTGAAAAAGGAACAACTCATTTTTAAATCATTTTACTGTTTATACCGTAGTCACATTTGAATTGGCAGAACTGTTCCCATGACAGACCAGAGACCTGTTATTCAAGGAAAAATAAGTGAAGGTTTTCCTAAAGCTTAAGGAGAGATGTCCCATAGTAGCTAACACAATGGCTGTAGCAATCTCAGACAATGATGCCAAGGTGTGTGAGCAGGTAGGAACAAAGGGTGCTCCAGAGTAGCTGGCCTACGAATGTGTGTTGGCCTGAGAACACTGCTGCTTCCTAAAGGGATTTTCTTATGTTTGGTAAGCAGATGAATTGTAATAGATGTATAATTAAAGCAGGGTGACACTTCTGCAGCATAAATTCTACAGGTTTCGGGACAGGTTCTACAAATTTCACTGGTGATTAATTGTTGCTTAATTATGATTCTGCAAAGGTAGATCCCATGAACAGACATCCAGGGAAATTTTACAACTGGTGAAATTCTTAAGCCAAAAAATAAATAGCCACACATAACAAACCTACACACCATGAATTAAAATGGTGACATGTTAGGCCTTCTGAAAGAACCAGAGCAGGAAAGCTTATTCAAACAGAAGATCTTCATCCTTCTCTTCAGCCAGGAGATTAGCAGGCTCCATCACCTCTCCGGCTGCCCTCCGTTGCTCCAAGTCCTGTTCAGACTTTTCCTTGAGAACCTTTTTCTTCTCCTGTATTTTCTTTAACCTGTAAGATAAAGGAGGGAATTTTCTGAACAATGTTTTGGTACTAAGTGGAACTGATTTCTTCTAGTTTTGTAACAAGGATAATAAACACCTCTACAAAGTCAAACAAAATTCTGCCTTTATTAATTTCAATTTCAGTAATATATTTATGACCACCCCTTTTTTTTTTAAAGACTTGATGTTGAACACACTCGTGGTTCAGATGGTTAAGAATCTGCCTGCAGTGCAGTTGGCCTGGGTTCAATTCCTGGGTCAAGAAGCCTGGTGGGCTAGAGTCCATGGGGTCACAAGGAGTTGGATATGATTGAGCAACTAACACTTTTAACACACATTTTAAGCTAATAACTGATTGCAAAAGCTCCTATCTCAGGGTGAATAAACTTTGATATTCATGTGATGATACTGAATATTCAGACATTAAAATTCTGGATCATTCAATTTGCATTACCACAACTCTGTACATGAACTGAAGAACTAGATTTTGATAATGATTATAAATCATAATCAAATGCTACTCAAGGTCCAAGACAGTCATAGCTTGCCTTCACTTATCTTGCACTTCTCTGAACCTGGCACAAGGACCCCAGCATACCACCTATGTAGTATGTATTGTTCCATAAATCAAGGTAAACTGGAAGTGGTCAAATAGATAGCAAGAGAATCAGTAAACTAAAATGGACCAGGATGGGCAAATTTAATTCAGATGACCATTATATCTACTATTGTGGGCAAGAATCCCTTAGAAGAAATGGGGTAGCCCTCACAGTCAACAAAAAAGTCCGAAATGCAGTACTTGGGTGCAATCTCAAAAATGACAGAATGATCTCTGTTCGTTTCCAAGGAAAACCATTCAGTATCACAGTAATCCAAGTCTATGCCCCAACCACTAATGACAAAGAAGCTGAAGATGACCAGGTCTATGAAGACCTACAAGACCTTCTAGAACTAACACCAAAAAAGATGTCCTCTTCATCATAGGGGATTAGAATGCAAAAGCAGCAAGTCAAGAGATACCTGGAGAAACAGGCAAGTTTGGTCTTGGAGTACAAGAAGCAAGGCAAAGGCTAATAAAATTTTGCCAAGAGAACACACTGGTCATAGCAAACACCCTCTTCCAAAAACACAAGAGAAGACTCTATACATGGACATCACCAGATGGTCAATACCAAAGTCAGACTGATTATATTCTTTGCAGCTGAAGATGGAGAAGCTCTATACAGTCAGCAAAAATAAGACCGGAAGCCGACTGTGACTCAGATCATGAACTCCTTCCTTATTGCAAAATTCAGACTTAAATTGAACAAAGTAGGGAAAACCACTAGGCCATTCAGGTTTGACCTAAATCAAATCCCTTATGATTATAGTGGAAGTAACAAACAGATTCAAGGGATCAGATCTGATAGAGTGCCTGAAGAACTATGGACAGAGGTTTGTGACACTGTACAGGAGGCAGTGACCAAAACCATCTGCAGAAAAAGAAATGCAAAAAGGCAAAATGGTTGTCTGAAAAGGCCTTATGAGTAGCTGAGAAAAGAAGAGAAGTGAAGTTAAGGAGAAAAGGAAAGATATACCTAGCTGAATGCAGAGTTCCAAAGAATAGCAAGGAGCAATAAGAAAGCCTTCCTAAGTGATCAATGCAAAAAAATAGAGGAAACCAATAGAATGGGAAAGACTAGAGATCTCTTCAAGAAAATCAGTGATGCCAAAGGAACATATCATGCAAAGATGGGCACAATAAAGGACAGAAACCGTATGGACCTAACAGAAGTAGAAGATACTAAGAACAGGTGGCAAGAATACAGAGAAGAACTATACAAAAAATATTTTAATGGCCCAGATAACCATAATGGTGTGATCACTCACCTAGAGCCAGACATCCTGGAATGTGAAGTCAAGTGGGCCTTAGGAAGCATCACTACAAACAATGCTAGTGGAGGTGATGGAGCTCCCGCTGACCTATTTCAAACCCTAAAAGATGATGTTGTTAAAGTGCTGCACTCAATATACCAGGAAATCTGGAAACCTCAGCAGTGGCTACAGAACTGGAAAAGGTCAGTTTTCATCCCAATCCCAAAGAAAGGCAATGCCAAAGAATGTTCAAAATTCCGCACAATGTCACTCATATCACACGCTAGCAAAGTAATGCTCAAAATTCTCCAAGCTAGGCTTCAAAAGTACATGAACCAAGAACTTCCAGATGTTCAATCTGGATTTAGAAAAGGCAGAAGAATCGGAGATCAAATTTCGAATTCATCTCTTGCTTGAGACGTCTACTTCTGCTTCACTGACTACAGTAAAGCCTTTGACTGTGCGAATCACAACACACTGTGGAAAATTCTTAAAGAAATGGGAATACCAGATCACGTGACCTGCCTCCTGAGAAATCTGTATGCAGGTCAAGAAGCAACAATTAGAACAGGACATGGAACAGACTGGTTCCAAATTGGGAAAGGAGTATGTCAAGGCTATATATTGTCACCTGCTTATTTAACTCATATGCAAAGTACATCATGCAAAATGCTGGGCTGGATGAAGCACAAGCTGGAATCAAGATTGCCAGGAGAAACATCAATAACCTCAGATATGCAGATGAAACCAGCCTTATGGCAGAAAGCGAAGAAGAACTAAAGAGCCTCTTGATGAAAGTGAAAGAAGAGATTTAAGAAGCTGGCTTAAAAAAATCAACATTTAAAAAACAAAAATCATGGCACCCCCGATCCCATCACTTCATGGCAAATAGATGGGGAAACAATGGAAACAGTGGGAGACTTTATTTTCCTGGGCTTCAAAATCACAGCAGATGGTGACTGCAGCCATGAAATTAAAAGACACTTGTTCCTTGGAAGAAAAGCTGTGACAAACCTAGACAACAGTATTAAAAAGCAGACATTACTTTGCCAACAAAGATCCATCTAGTCAAAGCTATGGTTTTTCCTACAGTCATGCACAGATATGAGAGCTGGGCTACAAAGAAGGCCGAGTGCCGAAGAACTGATGCTTTTGAACTGTGGTGCTGGAAAAGACTCTTCTTGACAGTCCCTTGGACTAGAAACCAGTCAATCCTAAAGGAAATCAGTCCTGAATATTCACTGGAAGGACTGATACTGAAGCTGAAACTCCAATACTTTGGCCACCTGATGTGAAGAGCTGACTCATTTGAAAAGACCCTGATGCTTGGAAATATTGAAGGTAGGAGGAGAGGGGGACGACTGAGGATGAGATGGTTGGACAGCATCAGTGACTCAATGGACATGTATTTTGGTGAAGGACAGAGAAGCCTGGCGTGCTGCAGTCCACGGGGTTGCAAAGAGTTGGACACGACTGAGCGACTGAACAGCAACAGCTTTAAATGTTAGCCTGCAGCCCGCCAGGCTCCTTGTCTATGGGATTTCCCTAGCAATACTGGAGTGGGTTGCTACACCCTCCTCGAGGGGATCTTTCCAACTCAGGGATCGAACCCGAGTCTCCTGCATTGCAGGCAGATTCTTTACCACTGAGCCACCAGGGAAGCCTCCCCTTATGAGACACCCACATAATCACTTTCATTTGAAGGAATTACCAACACTATTGCTAGTTTCTCTGAAGGACCTATGTTTTCAGAGACACCACATTTTAGTTATGTGCAAAACTTGGCACGGATTTGTCTCCACAGCCTTTGGCAATACCACAGCCTTTGGCAATATTATCTCTTGCCTCTTATCAGAATAAAACACAAGTTGTGCTAATTCTAAAGAACATAAGCCAACAAGTCTCTCAGCAAATCAAGTCTTTGGAATATGGAAAAACGAAAAATGACCAATAACTGCCACGTCCAACAAACCTGTAGAACTCCTCTCGCTCTCTCTCATCCAGCTCTGTGATGATATAAGCAAGGGTACGTTCAATCCGGGGAATGATGACTAGGGTTTAAAAATATATATGTAGTCAGAACTTCAAACCTCCTTTTTTTAAATTGCCAGTGCTCATTTGTACAACAGTTACTTAACCATAAATGTACATTTAATGCAAAAAACAAAAACAGAAAAGTAAAATGAATTATAATCCCACCACCCTGGGTTAACTATTATAAATATTTTGGTATATGTCCCTGTACTGTCTTTTCTATGCACAGGTAACACTGGACCATGATATATACAACACTGAATATACTGAATTTATAAGATTTTTTAACACTGAACCACAAATGTTATTTTAAATATAACAGCAATCTACTGTTAAATGCTGGAACACTGAACAGAGGGAGTACAGTAAGTTGAATTTTTTCTCAGTCATAGGTTCAATTTTACACAGAATTTGCTTATTCTGCTTCTAGAATGTGAGGTCCTTGCAAATTGGAACTTACCCATTTTGTTTTGCTTGCAATTCCAGACATGAGGCTGGCACAAGCAAGCAGTCAGGAAATGTGTTTTGAGTCTTTAAAAAATGAGGTAACTTCCTCTTTATTTTTATTTTTTGATAACTTCTTCTTTAACACTAACAGATCCCGAGCAAAATAATTTCCCTGCTGCTGCAAGTTTGCTACTTTCTTACCTTAAAATTAAATCAATGTTTCTTTAATGAAAACTGAGTCTTTTAAGGAAAAAGTACTTTGGCAACATTAAGGAGTCATAGTTTTAAAATAATGAAATAAGAGAGATGGAGGATAAAGGCATACAATGGGAAAACTTATTTTGAGAAATCAAGAATAGGAGATAAGGCCTAAGAAAGATTTAAAGTTAAATACAGTAAGTCCTCTACATAAGAACCTTCACATTGTGAGCTTTCAAAGATGCCAACGTGCGGTCACATGTCCAATCACATAAATCAGTTCACATGTCTGATGTGCGTTGTCACATGCATGCATGTATGCTTTACTGTACAGTACTGTAGAGACAGCAGCACAGTATGTGTCAAGCCCAGGATTTCTGGAAGCCAGTGTAAAAGCAGTGATTGCCGTAGCTGGTACAGTACTCCCTAAACATCACTGGATTGTTTTTTCAAGAGTAGACAGAATTCAGTCCAGCAAGGAACCCGTGCCGTCAACGTCAGGCCTGAGTGAAACTGCAGCTTGCCCTCCACCTGCTCCTGCTGACGATCCACCTTCCACCTACCTCCCTCCTCCAGCTAGTAACTCTTCCTGCCTGTTCACTCGATGCCAGCTGTTGCCCTATACTATTGTATTTTTCAAGGTACTGTACTGTAAGATTAAAAATGTCTTATTTTTCTGTTTTTTATGTATTATTTGTGTGAAAAGCATTACAAAGCTATTACAGTATAGTACGATATAGCTGACTGTGTTAATTTGGTGACCCAGGGTAACTCTGTTGGACTTAGAACAAACTAGACTTCAGAATGTGCTCTTGGAACGGAATTCATTCGTATGGAGGGGACATACTGTACTTCATCAAAAAGATTTATCACTCAATCACTGGAAAGAACTTACAAAAACATTAGGGCTCTTGAGAAATAGTTTCACCTTTTATTCATGAATAACCAGAAACAAATAGAACATTCCACAGCTTTTAAGTTCACCACTCTCCTCTAACTCCCCCACAAGTCATATACATACTTCTATCAAATGATTTATGAACATTTGTACTTATCTGTACTACTGACTCTCTGCCCTTCTCACTGTGGACAGGGGCAACATCTTAATCAGCAGGCAGGCAGTGCCTGAGTCCTAGCAGGTCTGAGACAAGGATGGAGGTGGGCACGAAAGGATAAACAATGAGCTTCAGAGCGGCTTAAACTCACCATGTTCAATAGCATTTACACGCCTGTTGGTTATCTTAATAGCTTCATCCAAAGTAACAAAGGAAGTCTAAAATAAGAGGATAAATTAATAATGCAAAATTTTCTTCCTAATCATACCCTGGCCACCTGCCTTCACTCAGCGCTTGTAGAAAACATTTGGAAACCAAGACTACTACTTCTCAATGTACTTAGAAAACAGAAAAGTCTTATGAGATTTCCAGAGGTAACATGACTTCCATTCTATTAGAATTCATTCACTTCAGACTCACCTGAAGTTATAAAAATGGCAAGAGGAAGAGAATCATACACTAATGACCTAGACACACATTAACTGGCCACAAATGGGAAATAAAGGCTTTCATAAGTAAATCATATAAACATATGCATTTAAATCTAGTATTGACTGTTGCTGTTCTCACCTAGTCAAGAGTGAAGCTATACCACTGCACAAACATTGTATTAGTGATGAAAAGTAGGGACAATGGTGCAGAAGCCCCCATTTCAGAAATCAAAGCATCTCTGGCTTGTTTCACACAGGCATGCAACAGTTTCAAGTACTAAGTGCAATATGCTCCGGTTCAGGATCTGAATCTCCCCGACGTGACTGTTAGATATCAAACTGCAGGACTTACCTGCAGTGAAGCCAGTTCCACCAGTAGTTCTACTGCTTTGGCATAATTCCTCTTCAGTTTAGCCAACTGTTCCCCACCTCTGGCTAAACCAGTCAGTTCATAACCTAAAAGAACCAGTCAGACAACATTTGCATTTAGAGTGTAATCTTCCCCATAGACTTCCCAAAAGATGGTTAAGTCAGAATTAATACCAAAGACACAAAAACAAATTTAGCAACCCTATTCAATGCACACACCAAGTACCCACTTCACTCCCCCAAACCATCGTGCATGCTGCTATTTGCACATGGGCATTATACTAGCTATAGGGGAAGCTTCTGACCAACCTTCACGTGCCCAGCTTGTAGACTTGTAGACTGTACTGCCTGATGCCCAGTACAGTGACATTCTATTACCAGGTGATACTCTAGAATGCTGCTTCATTCAAGCTGTACTAAATGGTCTATGTGAACCAATTAAATAGGAGGGCTAAAAAAAGAATATTTTTATTTCTATGAGAAAGAGTCAACTACTTTGGAAAGGCTCAACAAAGATGTATTACCATCTAAAACATGCTGTCAAAGTAGGAAAAGTGGAAACAGTTATCAAAGAAAGGTCAAGGCCTTTTGTTTCTAAAATTTGAAATGACTAAATTTCTAGGTGGAAATAAAGTATTTTAAGCAATGTACAATGTTCTGTGACTCCACACAATAACACTTTTTTGATTAACTGATCAACTATTGTCCCAAATGTATCTAATAAGGCTTACCAACACTGGAACTACTGAACTCTAATAAGGTCTATCTATCATCGTTGTTAGGAATAAGGTTCATTTAAAGAGAAACTAGAAGAACCGAGAGACACACTTAAGAAGTTTCACACTTACTGTCAGTTCCTTCATGATAATGTTCAAATACTGGCAATGTAACACCTGTTAAACAGAAACATATATGGATTCACAAAAACATGTCCTTGAAGTATGGCTTCTTAACCATGGTTTCCTGTTTCTTTTTCAGCAAATATTCAAAAGTCAAGAGATTGCCTGGAATCATAACTTGTTTCAAGGAATGAATTTAGGAACCTGCCTTCTTAAGTGTTCATTCCTATTCCAAAGTCAAGTTGTCCTTAGTAAGGGATCTGGTTGTTACAATGTTTGTTTGTTTTTTTTTTTCTTTCAGCTTTGAAGTATACTTAATATGTAAAAATCTGCACATATTTAATGTATACATTCTGATGAGTACAACATATGCATACACCCATGAATACCATCATCACAATCAAGGTGATAAACATATCCATCACTTCCAAAAGATGTGTCCCTTTTCCTAAGTGTGTGTTAAGAATACTCAATATGAAATCTACTTTAAGTTTCTACTTTAAATTTCTAAGTGTAGAACACCAAATTATTAACTATAACTACGGACTGTACAGATCTCTAGAGTATATTTATGTTTAATAACTGTTACTTTATATCCACTGAATGACCAGCTCCTCATTTCCCCCATCCCTATCCCCAGGCAACCACCAGTTAACAACAGTTTCAGCATGTAAAGCCAATCAACTTTGTCTAAGAAGAAAAGATTAACTGGGCCATTAAGATCTTGCTGTATAAATGGGTTGATTTTAAAATGTTCTCTTTTCTCTGCCAAAGATTTAAAGGGTTGAAAAGTTACCTGCTACATTATCTTTCTTTGCTCTAATCTTCACTTGGGCCTTATTTACATTTTGGATAACTGTGGTGCTGCAGGAAAAGAACAGGCCTTGATTTAGTTTCGTCTTTAGAGTGAGAAGTAAACCAGCAGGGACCTATCAGGTATTTCAACATAAGCAAGATTTCACAATTACATTTTCAAGATTGTCTTTTTTCAGAAAAGGAAACAATCACTACTATCAAAGGAGGGCCTCAGAGAGCAAAGTATGAACGATAGTCAAACATTAATCATAAGAATACAAAGAATGGTTTCAATGTATATGGACTGCTTACGTTTCCAATCAGATATGTGGTGCGTGGATGTGACTTTAGGGATTTTCATTCCACTGATGCAATCAGGAGAAGGCCTGCCTTCCTTTTGGGTTTGCCACCAAACCTCCCAGGTTTGGCTGAGCAGCAGTTGAGTTCCTTCGCCCTGGAACTTCCATCTGGCTGCACCTGACTCCCCATTTGTTACTTTCACAAAATAAAGTGTCTTCCCCATAACCACCCTGAAACACTTTCATATACCACTTACACACTATTTATTCCCTCTCTCTCATGAAAAAGTCAATGCAAATCATTATCCTACTAATACTGGTGAAAAGTAAAGTCTACTACTTCAAAAGGACTCACGCCCCTCAAGCTGTAAGACTGTCCATAGGTAATGTTCCTCGAAGACACAAACTAAGAATGGAGGCACTGTGTTACTGGTAAAGACGACTAAAATCAAAAACCCTGAAAACAACTTCCACTTCTGCCCCTGAACAGTAATTTAACTTCAGGAAAGGACTGAACCTAAACTAAGAATTACAATGCTCACCTGGTCTATCTCACAGGCTTATGGGGAGAATCAAATGACGTTATCTAAATATATGTAAAGCAGTAACTAAGCCATTTTGTACACTTTGTAAGGCATATATTGACAAATGCCATAAAGTCCATGCTCTTTAAACAACCAATTCCATTCTTAAAAATTTTCCTAAGGAAATGATTCAATAGAAATAAGTATATAAAGATGTTCATGGCACCTTTTCTAATATTCTGAAAATCACCCCAAAGGCCCATCATTATAGGAAAACATTAACAAATTATCATACATCTAGAGAAAGATTATGCAGCTGTATGAAAATGGGGAAATGTTTATGACACAATACTGTGTGTGTGCGCACACAGGCGCTTAGCTGCTCTGTCATGTCTGACTCTTCGAGACCCTGTGGACTGTGGCCCTCCATGCTCCTCTGTCCATGGGAATTTTTTAGGCAAGAACACCGGAATGGGTTGCCATTTCCTCCTCCCAAGGGATCTTCTTGACCGATAGATCGAACCCATGTCTCCTGTGTCTCCTGCCTTGCAGGCGGATATTTTACCTGCTGAGCCTTATTTAGTTTAAAAAAAAAAAAGACTATAGAAATAGAGGAGAAGGGGGTGACAGAGGATGAGATGGTTGGATGGCATCACTGACTCAATGGACATGAATTTGAGAAAACTCAGGGAGACAGTGATTGACAGAGAGGCTTGGTGTGCTGCAGTTCATAGGGTCACAGAGTTGGACATGACTTAAGAGACTGAAGAACAACAACAACAATAAAATATTAAGTATCCTGTGCCTGAAGAATTATGTAACAGATAATGTGCATTAAGGTGATGGAAGTATTCTATCATGTGTCTATAATGCTTTTATGTATATATTAATTAAAAGTGGCTTTAAATGAAATTTTGAACATGAAGGCACTTTGTTTTTCAAAATATCCCACTTTACCTGAAGTCCCCGGCTGTGAACTTGGCCTCAGCAAGTGAAAAGGCAGCTTCTCTCATCACTTCACCCATCAACATTTTAGTCTGGAAAAGCATAAACCAGCAGTTGATTCAAGCCAAGTTTTTATACAGGGAAAGGTGGTATCATAATCATGTCCCTTTAACAACCATCAGTGTTTCACAGTAGGTGTGCATGTAAATACTGATCTGGTAACAATGACATAAATACATCTAATTTTGCTTGAAAGGTTTGATTATGGATACTAACAAGATGGCAAAATCATAAGTTTTATAATTAAAATATTACAATAAAGACACTAAAATATTGAAAACTAAATCTTTACTGAAAGGCCTACCTTATTCCTGAATGGGTCCATGGCAATTTGTTCAAATTACTCTTTTAGATTCACTATACTGCTGTCAAAATCCTAATGGCACAGTGATTCTAAAATAAATCTGGAAGATGTAATGTTTGAGAATACCCAATAATTTTTTTGAAAGAGAAGACAAACTGGGGCAGAGGGTTAGAAAGTTACCAGACAGGCCAGAGGAGCAATTATAAGAACACAAGGGAAAGAGCACTTCAGGCAGAAGAAAGAGCTAACGCAAAGGTCCCAGCGGAGGATGTTAGAAGAAAGCTCCAAGTGAGACCAAAGGGGCAGGCAAGGGCCAGAAAAGATCAAGAGGGACTTGGGCGCAAGAGTAAAGAGTCTGAATTTGATGTCATGACCTTTCTGAAACTTGTTACATTTACAATGGCATTTTTACTTTTGAAAGAAAAATATTAACAGCCATGCTGGATTTTCCATAGATACTTCTAAAACACAGTTCGAAGCAAACTTCATTCTACCTCTATTATCTTCTTAAGGATCTGTCGAAATCGAAGAGTTAAGGCATCAGATTTTTTCTTCAGGAGGTTTCGACCTGTCTGTGCTCCTTTTAACCGAGCCTTCATGATGGTCTGTGCCCTATGTAAACAAAGTTAAAGAAATTTAAGATAAAAATGCTTCCCTAATATGGTGTTAAAACCCTGCTTTATCTTTTGATGTCACGGGAGCAAGAATATACAGCATTTGTGGCCAACAGGCTTAACTGGTTTCTCAATATTGTAGATCTCCACCCTCAGTGTTCCAAAAGTGAGAAGTCTTTTTTATACAAAACAGTAACAATCCTCTAATAAGTATTTGATAAATTAATATTTATTAAATCAGAATAAACATATAAAGAGCCCTATTTTATGATGTCAGCACTGTTTACTTACTTGATTTGTGAGTTATAACAATGTATGTGTTTCCATTAAGGACTTAAAAGATTCTGTCCATTAACAGCAAAATTTGAAATGCACTTATCTTCAGGACCAACAATTGCACTTTAAGGGACTTATGCCACTGACTGACTCCCACACGTACACAAAAGCATGTACAGTATTAAGGATGAGTACTCCAGCCTTATTTGTAGTAGGAAAAGGGTGGAAACAAATGTCCCACAACTCATGGTTCATTATGCAACAGAATGATATGCAGCCAGTAAAAAAAAAGAAACAAAAAAAACCACAGTAAGGCAGATCCCCATGTATTCCCGATATTACACTATCTTAGTTACACAAATAAGGGATACATGGGCTTATATAGATACAGAAAACAGTTCTAGAAAGTTCACAGAAACTGGTAACAGTTTCCTTTGAAAAATAAAGCATTTACTTTTTAAATGGAAAAAAATGGATTTACTCTTTACTACCACACTGTTTTATCTTCTCCATTTTACAGCATAATCATTTCTCATTTTTTCCATTAAAAGTGTGGCACTGAAGTGTTTTGATATCACCAATGAAGGCTCTACTACCACTTTATTAAATTGTAAATGACTCTAGGTAACAAAAGACACAAATGACACTCCTGAGAAGTGACAAGTCACTGAAGTCTCCCTACCTCATTCCAATCTTTTCCTATCAGAAACCCCCAAATCGAAGGCAAGAAAGCAATAGCAAAAACCAACATTTCTGTTCTTGCTACCATATGCCAGATAAAATTTAATAATGAGGAAGAAAAAGTGGGTAGTCAGATTCAATAATAGATTGCATGACATACTTAGAATAGTTTAAGGGGATATAGTTTCATATGACTGGTGTTATAATCAACTGCAAAATAGTTTTTACTAAACTTTTGGGTACATTTCTAGATTATGAATCTTCTACCACAGGCCAAAGGTTACTAAGACTATTCTGCAGCTGCAAAGGGCTTTAGACATTATCTTGCAGGACAGGAAAATGAAGCTCAGAAAAGTAAAACAACTTTCCCACAGTCACTCAGTGAAGAAAAGGCAGAGCAGGAACTTGATCCAGATTTCTGACTCCAGTGATTTAACCAAGGCTCAAACCTAAGTCCTCTGTACCCCAACCTGTGCTACACTGCTTCACCTACAGATTATAAACCACCTCAGGCGAACAGTTCTGTCTTTGAAAAACTAGCTATTAGTGGCTGAAATTGCACTGACAAGCCTCACTGGAGGCCTACCCAAGTGAAGCTGGTTCAGTTTCCAACCTGAGTAGGAGTTATGCACCCCATTGTGTACATTTAACATGCCGTGCTGTTGACACTAACCACCAGAGCTTGGGTTCAAAGCGTTGAACCAAATTTAAGTCAAATCCTAGTATTGCAGATTGCAGCAAGTATACAGTAAAAAGGTGAACTGTTTGTGAATTCATCTTAATTTTAATCTCCAATATTTAATTTCTTTTCTGGTGAAATAGACAAATTTTAATTCTTGAAAACCAAAGAGTGACTTGCCCGAGGGCCTACAGTTAGTATGTAGTAGACCCTCGATGTGACTGATTTCTGCAGACTCCGAATCCTTCATGTCTCTTTTGCTTCCACTCTAAACTTGTTTTTGCTCTCTGGTGCCTAAGTAGGTGACAGCACCATCTTACAGTATATACAGTAAGGTGAAAGTGTCTGAAACAAATCACTAGCGTATTTTCTAGCCGAGCTCTTAAAAAACTTATTTTATAAGTTACAAAGCTGCTCGGCCCTACAAAAAATGCTTGACCTTCAGCTAGGACGATGACTTTGCTTCCAGTTGAATCAAAGACATCTGACTACATGACAAAGTACCTGCTGATAGCCCTTGGGGAAAATATTTAGAGAAGCAGTTACTTCCTGCACCTGATTTTCCTCTTAATCAGCAAGCTGAACATTCTCAAACAGCAAATTTTTACCTCCCCAAACCTATCATTCATGTCTAAGCCCAAATAAGTGTATTCTCACCTCCTAGTCTTAAAGCAAAAACATCAACAACAAAATGTTAACATTCTGACTACTACCAAAGATAAATGCAGCCAGACATTAATTAAAGCGGTGAAAAGAGACATTATTCAGTAGCTGCTGACAGCAGGGGAAAAGAGCTGAGCTCCTTTCTGATGGTGCACAGGTGATTAGGCATTTTAAAAGGAGTGAGTGGACATGATTTGGAGAAGAGAAAAATTTCAAACGGTTGGGCAATGGAAATGCCATCAGGCCAGCTGTGTCTGCTAGCATGCAATTAAGGAAGGGAAGTAAGAGGCACAGCCGAAGGTGTTGCATATTTGGCTAGATGAACTTTCTTAGGCCAGCATTTTACCCGGTGCTGGAGTCATCTTAGGAACACAATCTTAGGCTACTAGAAGCCAAGCTAGAGTCTGGTGGTCTCTCAGTGCAGGGGTTTGGATGGAGTCAGAGTCATTAAGTGCTGGGAGTTCTACAGGCCTCCCAACCCCAAGGTATTCCTGATCTTTATCTATTTCAGAAGGCACTGCCTTTCTCCACAACTGACGTGCCTCCCACCTAGGGCAAGCAGCTATTATAAAGTCAATAGATAAGGTAAAAACCAAACAAAAACCCCTTCGTTTCATTAAAAGCTGTAGCCACCCACGAAGAGGCAGAAAGCTAGGTTTGGGGTTTAAATAAACTCTTATTTTAACCCTCCCCAGATTCTCTGAGAAAAGTCAGGAAGAAGAAAAACAACACAGCATACCCAAAGAGATAGGGCCAAAATCAAAAGATCTAACTGTTAAAGCCAAAACTGATTTTCTGCTCCTCAGTGAAAAGAGAGTAAAAGAACGAGAGGGCAAATAAGAGCAATCTTTATCTTCCACACGTTGTTAGGCACATTCGAGTAAACGTCAAAATTTTCTCCTGCCGAAGAATTTAGACCACCAGAGAAAGGAGACCACAACCGAACAGATTCCACGGGCATGGGTTCATTCAAGCAACATTTTTTGTGGACGATTAAGAATCAAGACATCTCATCCTGGAGAGATTTCCCAGTTCAGTGGTAAATGTACATAAGCTTATATCCACTTTACAATGTGATGGATGATATTAACATAATGAATATTGAATGGTGATGGAACAAAATAAAAGCCTCAGAAATTCAGGGATAGCTTCCCACCGCATGTGACATTTCATGGGATCTTGCCAAGATGAACCTGAGGCCCACGTTAGGGAGATTCAACCCCCCGATTTGGCCTGCTTCACATCGCAGTCAACTTCCCGTCTCAAAGCATTTATCAAACTTCATCGCCTGGTCTATATCTTCACTGAACTGTGAGCTCTATTCTGGCAGCAGTAGCGACAATTCACAGTTTTTTATAAATCCACTGCCCGGATCAATAGGGAATGTGGAATGAATGGCTCGATTAATAACTGAAGTCAGCAGACCTCCACAAAAGTCAGCAGCTCGAGCTGAACTCTGTCCAGTCTGGTTCAACTCAGAGCAAAGGGGCTCGTCAGGGAGCCTTGTCCTGGACTCAGGAAGAGACCTGAGAGCTCAGGATCGGCCCAACATACAAGAAGCCCCGCCGCTGGTCCAGGGTAATGAAGGGCCAGCGGCTCAGGCAGGTGTTCCTGAACACCTTGTTCCATTCTTTTACTTACATTCGCGAGGGGAAGATTTCAATTCGGTCTTTGCCCGACATTCTGACGATGACTCTTCGGCTCGGGTTCCTGGTCGGGCAACCGTGGCTGCAACAACCCAGCCACTGAGTCTTTCTCTACGGGAGTCAGCTGGTGTGTCACGTGACCCTCTCCCGTTGCTAAGAGGAAGCCAGGCTATGCAGTCTTTACTTCCGCTTCCTGTCGGTACGGGTGAGGGCGGGGGTATGGGGAGGGCGAGGACAACAAGAAGGCGATGCCCGGATGTTGAGGCGCGCGCACCCCGGAATCGCCCCCTCATTTCCGATTCGCCTTTTAGCCCCTCCCCTTCCAGTTCCCAAGCTGCTGCGGTCGGGTCTGCACGCGCCAAGCGAAAGAACAGGTAAGAGTACACTCCTTCTCTTTCTCTAGTTTTCATCTTTGGTCACAGCGCCACCTCCTGATTGACTGAAGGTTCCAGCGAGGATTTATGCTTTAGGGACAAGGAATCAGTCTTCCCTTTTACCTGCGCCTGGACGGTTACTTAGCGAAAGCTAAAGATAACGAGAAAACGTACTTTTCAGGTCCTCCTAAGGTCCACATTCTTTGTCCTCGGAGGACCTGGACTCTATGGTCAGTGACGAAGAGGGGCCTCTCTCCCGTTGGCGCTTGCGTGCTGTGAGTGGTTCCGCATGCGCGGTGTGGGCAAGCGAAGCGCACGCTGAGGAGAGTCGGCGGCTGCTGAGGGTTGATCGAGTCTGATCTCTCCGACTGAAGAGCGTGGCGTGGGACCCTGGTGTGGGCTTCACACACATACCTCAGGTGACTAGTCTCTCTGATCGGTTTCTCCAGGAATTCACTTTGATTGTGTCTGGGGACGTGGGTGGTCGGTAGAGGGTAGGCCCCGGGGCTAACTAACACCCCTGCCTTTTCCCGTCCCCGCGCGGGAAGTGTCTGGACACGACTGCCGCCACCCGCCGGCTGCGTGTCGGCCTCCCCGTGTAGCAGAGGTGTCATGGTACGGACGGAAAAATCTCGTGAAGGCAAGTGGGCCAAGTGATGGGACGGCCTCGTCAATATGCTGATAGTGGGGGTGTCTTGAGGTGGGGCGGCCTGGGGAGAACGCCGTGACACCCCGTCCCAGGACGCTGAGCACTTTGCCGTCTCTAGGCCTGAGAATTCCACCCTTTTCCCCCCCCCCTCTTCTTCCGCCCCGGCAAATACTCCCTCTCAATGGTGACCGGATAGGACACTTTAAGGAACCTGTGGATTGAGCCACGATTTTGACAAGAGTTGCGTTAAAAAAAAGATCCAAGAATAGTTTGTTAACCTGAGCACTAATATTAAAAACTCGAAGCTCTTGTTACCCTGTCGCAGGAGTTGTGCGTTTCTGTAGAATGAGTCAGTCCTTAGGACGAAAGTAAAAGATATTACTTGAGTTTATCATTCTTCGTATCATTTTGCCGTATTCTCAGCACGGTTGAGAACAGACTTTGTAGAATTAAGCGCTGTGGTCTTCCGGTTAAGAAGAACTGAAAAACACAAGATAATGGACGCTTTAGGTGCTTTTTGTTAACTACCCCAGACTTAGTCTACTTTAATTTTCAGTAAACAAGAAACATTGTTTCTTGGGCGAAAAGTGTAGCAAAGAAGTCTTGGTTTTTCTTCCGATTGAAGTTGTCACTCAAGGGGGAAAAAAAAAATCTTGTAACTCCGTGTCTTTCAGCAGTTTGGAATTACATAGAGCTTTACTGCCTGTTCTTAGTGCATCGGATGCCAACTGAGAGTTTCTGGTTCTCAAAAGATCTCAAGAAGATGCGCAGTTTTAGAGATTGATGCTTCCTAGTTCAACTACAGTGAAATAATTGAAAAGCTTTATTTGTTTAGCACTTCTGTACTAAAGTCGAGCATTCATAGAGCATAACTGATAAGTGTTAGAGCCGAATTAGGATTACCACAAGAGTTGCCTCTATCACATCATGCTTTGCTTGGGAAGGCAGTGTGGACTTCCTATATCCATGATGACGACTGGAGCACACAGTGATTTAAGAACTCCTGCCTACCATTTGACCAGGCAAAATTACCAATGGTGCAGGGTATTTGAAATTAGCTTGGAGCTCAGTTGTTGTATTTTGAAAGATTCTTTACTGGAGAACACATACTGTATTGTAGTACTCTGACATATTGAGGCTTTGTGGGTTAAACTCTGAGTTTAGTGTCATATGATCTGGTTTTAGCTCCTGTTGTACTTAGTAAGCATTTGTCTTTGAGGAAATCCTTTAGTACTTTATTTTAATAATAAAAATAATTGTTTAATGAATTAAGTTACAAAATGGAAATGATATTTCCTTTGCCTTTTAATATCTTATATTTGTATAGCACATTACACTTTCCAACTCTTTGCACGTGTATATTATTTGATTTGATGTCCTCCACAAACCTGTGAAGTACATGGCACAAGTTAGAAGCTACAGTTAATGGGAATACACTAGTATTCCTAAGCCACAGTTAGTAAGTACGAGAGCAAAGTTGTAGATTATTTTTTTGTACTTATGTACTGTTTTTCACTGTGAATGACATACTATCAGCAGTATTCCTTTATTTACATTATCTTTTACAAAGAGATTTGCACCTTCTGAAGCAGTGGCATCCATATCACTCTTCAGAATTCTTTTACACTATTGCCTGTGTTCTTTTATAATCAAATTACATCTTGCGTCTCCAAAATTATCGGCTTTACTGTTTGAAGAAACTTGGTTAGTAAAAGTGGTTAGCACTTGTTAAATCTCTTAAAATGTTTCACACATTTCCATAATGTTTATTTTTATACCCAGTATGAAATGTTTTTAGCTCTCAAGTTTTAGTGCTTTACATACAGATATTTGAGAACAGAGAAAAAAGCCCTGTTTAAAAATGAACCAGCCAGCTCAGCTCTTTCTTGGTGGGTAATTCTGGCCATTGTATGTCTATTTCCCTTTATTTGCTAAATCCCTATTTTGTCAAGCTTCGAAGAGAAATATTTCTCTACCACTGTTATGTGCAGCTTTATTTTTTATTAAACAGGATAGGTTAATAATAAAAAGTTTTATGTGTCCTCTGTCCATGGAGTTTTCCAGGCAAGAATACTAGAATGGGTTGCCATTCCCTTCTCCAGGGGATAATCCCAATCCAGGGATCAAACCTGGTTCTCCTGCGTTGCAGGCAGATTCTTTACCATCTGAGCCACCGGGGAAGCACGGTATTAATACTAAAATGGTTCTAGCACTGAATGTATACACTGATGGTGCTTTTTGTTTAAGCTATTTCTAGCTGTCGTGTGTTTATCAATAACATATGAGAGAAAATATAGCCTAATGAATAAGACACAAACTATGGATTCAAATGTTACAGGTTCAAATTCACTTGTTAACAGTATATGACAGAACAAGATGCTTAACCCATGCTTCATATTTTTCATCTATAAAATGGGGACTATGAGGAAAGTGGTGTATCAGGAAGATAGGCAGTGGCCAGATTATATAGGACCCTGTAGGTAGCAGAAAAATGTATAAGTCCCTGGGTAAGCCACTAGGAAGATATAGGTGGGTGCAGTTATCAGTTCTCTAACTGCCCTGCAGCAGAACTCTGGTGTTTTATGAGCTGGATGTAGGTGTCTTCATCTTTGAGACAGGTGGTAAGTTAGTATGTAAATTTTCACAAATTGTTCATAGGACTTGGGATCTTCTTATTGCCTATATTCTGAGCTTTAACAATAGTAAATTAGTTAAGGTTATCAAAAAAAACATGAAAATTACCAACAGATTAATTTGAGAGCTTCCTTTTAAAAGTATATTTCTATTCATGGAATGACTAGGCTTGTGGGTCATAAAAGGAGTGGTGTTTAAAGTAGGTTGGGTGGATCAAAAGGAATAGTTTTAAATATACTTAATGTATGGAGATTAAGAAAAACTTGAACTTTATAGTAGTGGGGGTATCTACTAAAGGATTCTCAGGGTTGAGTATACCTATTCAACAAAAGAGAAGATTATTTGGAAGTAATGGGAAAAGTGGAAGCTAAAAATTATGGTAGTTGTGAATTAAATTCATTCTTAAGAGGAAAAAAATTCAGAAGGATACGTTTTAGTTAAATTTAGTATCTTTTATGATTAATCTTTAGTTTTTGTTGTGACATGTGATACTATAATTTTGCCTAAAATAAATGATAGAGTTGTGTGTCAGTCAACAGCAGAGGATGAGCTCGTTGGATGGCATCTCCGACAAACTCCGACATGAGTTTGAGCAAACTCCAGGAGATGGTGAAGGACAGGGAAGCCTGGTATGCTGCAGTTCATGGGGTTGCAGAGTCAGACATGACTTGGAGACTGAACAACAACAACAAATGATAAGAGTATATCATTTGATATATGGTTAGGGTTAAGATTTAATTTGTTGGAAAACTCTTCCCTTTATCTAGTGGGTGATAATCCAGTCTTAGCCGACTTGGAGGAAGAGTAGTTTTAGTTTTGCTGATAGGTTTATAGCAGTAGTGATGCTTTCTATCATTTGTTATTAAGTATTAATATTTTATTCTTTATAAATGATCATAATAGAGAAACATGCAAGTCTTAGAAAAATGTGGAGCAAAATAAAAATTCAGGCTTGGTTCCCGAACATTCATCTGTTTTCTAGCACTATTTAAGAAGTTTAAAGAGACGAGAAGACTAAAAACTTCTTCCAGTAGCAAGATGTGAAAAATTGATATTTTTTATGTTGACCCTAACTGAACACTGACTTGATTCTTTTGTTTAAATTGCAGAATGCCGGGTCTAAGTTGTAGATTTTATCAACACAAATTTCCTGAGGTGGAAGATGTAGTGATGGTGAACGTAAGGTCCATCGCTGAAATGGGCGCTTATGTCAGCTTGCTGGAATACAACAACATCGAAGGCATGATTCTTCTGAGTGAGTTGTCGAGAAGGCGTATCCGTTCTATAAACAAACTCATCCGAATTGGCAGGAATGAATGTGTGGTTGTCATTAGAGTGGACAAAGAAAAAGGTAAATGAGAAGAATATTTAATTTTTATTTTAATCATTTACATTTACTTATTAAATATAAATGTAATAATGAATAAATATTTTGTTAAATAATTTATATCTGAAATTTTTCTGAGTTAAACTTACTTTAAAATATGTTTTTTGTTCATTGCCTATTGCAGTAAAAAAACTAAACGCCTCTTTTTGTACTTAAACTCTTTTACATACAAAGTTGTTAGAGAAGGATGCCAATTAGCCATCTAAACAAAACCTTTTAAGTTAGTAATGGTTTAATTAGTTCATCCAGGACTAGCTTTTGTAAAAGTAAATGAATTTTAGGAATATTTTATGTCTTTAAAAAAGAGACATCTAGAACTGAATACTGTCTCTCTGGTAATCAGAATGTCTGTGACCCCCAGATCCTGTGGTCCCTTGGGATCTTTCAGGCAGAGGTGAATAGGTATTCATTTATTTACTGTGTTATTTATTCAGAGTGTGTGTGTGTGCAGTGTGCACACTGTGCTGAGTCGTGACTCATTGGGTACCCCTTCTTTGGACCCCATGTAAATCTTCACCTTTGTGAACACATTGTTTCTAAATATATTGTACGATACCAATGAGTAGGTTTTGTCTTCAGTTAACATAGTTAAGATCATTGGTTTCAGCCGTCTCGCTATAATTTATCAGGTGTTCATTTCAGTCACGTAGTTAACCATCTTGCTTAAAAGAATAGTCAGTCACCCTGACTGAACTTGTCTTTCTGAATCTCATTAGCCATCTAGTTAATTGATACTTTTGCAAATGAATGATTTTATACATAACTGACTTTTTATTATAATCTTAGATAATAAACTTTGGAGACAGCTTGTATTACCTCTTAAGAGGTGCTGCTGTTAGCACATTGATTATTCTAAATGCTTTGATATGACTTACTTGTAGCACTCTCCGTAGCCCCCATTTATTAAACTACTTGAAGACTGAGATTATTCCTTTTAATTTTGTGCTTAATCACTGTTCTAGTAGGACCTCAGCTGGTGTCTTAGCTTATATCGCTTTCCTATTATATGAAATAGATACACAAAAAGGAATCAAATACATTTTCAACTGCAGTCAGAAAAAGTGAAAGGGTATACTTGTATAAGTACAGTAGATAGATGTAAAAATGTATTTTCATAACATTGTTTGTACAGTGTATATTCAAAACATGAAACAATAATCTAAATTGGTTAAATAAATCATGACACAGCCAGGCAAAGCAATTTTCTACAGAATGAAATCTGAATATTCTGATATGAAAAGATCTCCAGGATAAGATAAGAAAAAAGCAAAGTGCAGAAGATCCTATAGAGGGGGTCCATTTCTGATTCTAGAAGTTTAAGTCCTGTTGGATAAGCCATTCAACATAACTGCTGTCAACCCTAAGCAAGCATCTAAATGGGTGGTAAGTTTTATCCAAAGATAATGGGAGCAACCAAAGCAGGCTGAAACTGAAGGCAGGTTAACACTTGGAAGACAGGACTGCACTGGATAAGTTTTACAGCCTTTTGACTGAATGCCATGTTATAGACACTTCCAAGCAGGGCAGTGAAGATTCTAAAGGAAAACCCACAGTCTTAATGGCTTGAGAGCCAGAGATAAGAATTCTGGACAGCCACAACAGTTGGAAAGTAGTGATTGGGATTAGAGAAAGAGACACAGAGAGCCCCTAAGTTTATATATAAAAATTCTGCTCAAATCTATAGCTGACTCCTGAAACTACTTGTAGAGGTTAGACTGCAAGCAGCCCAACAGGATAAAAATCTAGACAAATTTTGTTTGCTTTCCATCTGGGGAGACAGCTCTGTATAGTTTTGAATTCAGACAAGTTAACCGCTAAAACAAATTGAGTATCCTTGGGAGTTCCCTGGCAGTAGTACAGTGGTTAAGACTCTGTACCTTTGCTGCCAGAGGTGGGGGTTCAGTCCCTGTTTGGGGAACTCATCCCCCACAAGCCATGCAGAGTGCACAACAACAAAAAAAATCAGTATCTTTAAGAGGAACCTAAAGGAATTCAGAGCCTCTGCCATGTATCTTTTCTAATGTCCAGGATACAATTCAGAATTGCCAAACATTTGAATGAACAGGAAAATATGACACATTTGAAAAAGATAATCAGTGGAGACTGACCTAGAGATGACCCTGATGTTGGAATTAGCAGATAAGCATTTTAAATAATATGTTTTAACTACTCGAGGATATCAGGAAAATGTACTTGTAGTGAGTGAACAGAAATCTTAGTGGAGAAATTAGAAACTCACATAAAGAACTAAATACAATTTCTAGAAAGGAAATTTTTTTTAGTATCTAAAAAATTCAATGCATAGGCTAGCATCAGATAAAAGATGACAGAAGGCTTCTTGAAATTTGAAGGTAGTTCATTTAAAAAGAACCAATCTGAAGAACTGAGAAGAAAAAAAGAGCAACCTATTAACAATCAAAAGCTTTATTCCAAAAGAAGAGAAGAGAAAGAGAAAGCAGAAAATACATTTGAAGAAACCATGGCCAGAAGTGTCTCATATTTGCTGGGAGAAAAAATCTTTACAAATTAGAGAATCTCAGCCAACCTGAAGCAGGATAAATACTAAGACCACGTCTAGGAATACCAAACTATTGAAAAACAAAATCTTCAAAATAGCCAAGGAAAATGATGTTATTTACAGGGGAACAGTAATACAAATTACAGTGGCATTCTTTTATTGGAAATAATGAAGGTCAGAGCATTGAATGACATCTGTGAAACACTGAAAGAAAACTATCAAACCAGAATTCTGTTTCTAAAGAAAATATTCAGCAATAAAAATCAAATGAAGACATCAGATAAATAGAAACTAGGAGAATTTCTTACAAGACAGAACTGCATTATAAGAGATGGTAAAGGAAGTTATTTAGGCTGAAAGATATTAGGTTGCAAAAGCATGGTTTCGGACCCTGAATTTTAAATCATTATAACTAGGCTCAAACACATCTTTATTAAGCAAAATAGGAACCATTACAATCAATACATTTTTGCAAAAGAGAAATAAGTTGGTTGGTTCCTGTAGCAAAAAAATCCATGCTTCAGGATTTGATGAACTCTTGGGAAGCATTTTCTGCTTCCTGCTGGTGTCAACTGCAAAAAGTTGTCAAGGTCTTGAAGAACGGGTAGCCAGTTGGCAAAAGGTCTGGTGAATATGACAGATGAGGCAAAACTTCGTAGCCTAATTCATTCAACTTTGGAAGCTTTGGTTGTGCAAATGTGCAGTCGGGCATTGTTGCAGAGAAGAATTGGGCCCTTTCTGTTGACCAGTGCCAGCTGCAGGGTTGCAGTTTTCGGTGCATCTCATAGATTTGCTGAGCATACTTCTCAGATGTATTGGTTTCACTGGGATTCAGAAAGCTGTAGTGGATCAAACTGGCAGCAGACCACCAGACAGTGATGATGACTTTCGGTGCAAGTTTGACTTTTAAGAAGTGCTTTGGAGCTTCTCAGGCCAACCACTGAGCTGGTTGTCACTGGTGGTTGTACAAAATCTACTTTTTGCCCAACATCACAATCCAGTTGAGAAATGGTTCATTGTAATTGCATAGAGTAAGAGAAGATGACACTTCAAAACGATTATTTTTTTGATTTGTGGTGAGTTCTTGAGGCACCCACTTACTGAGCTTTTTCACCTTTCCAATTTGCTTCAAATGCCAAATAACGTAGAATGGTCGACATTGAGTTCTTCGGCAACTTCTCGTGTAATTTTAAGAGGATCAGCTTCCATGATACTCTCCGTTGTTGTCAACTTCCGATGGCCAGTCACTACACTCCTCATCTTCAAGGCTCTCGTCTCCTTTGCAAAACTTCTTGAACCACCACTGCACTGTACGTTGGTTAGCAGTTTCCGGGCCAAATGCGTTGTTGATGTTGCAGCTTGACTCCTGCTTTATGACCCATTTTGAACTTGAATAAGAAAATCACTCAGATTTGTTTTTCGTCTAACATCATTTCCACAGACTATTTCCATAGGCTAAAATACATAAATACATATGAAATAAATAGCAAGTAATAATTCATTAGCAAAAAACATAAAGCAATAAATGCACATTAAAATAATGTATAACAGCCACATTTAAGAATGTATTCCAGCAAATTTCGACAGTGCTAAACTGCAATTACTTTTGCACCAACCTAATGTGGGTAAAGGTGAAAGACCATTTTCAATTCTTCTTTTTTTAATTTTTATTGGGGTATAGTTGATTTACAATGTTGCATCAGTTCCAGATTTACAGCAGAGTGAATTAGTTATACATGTATCCAATCTTTTTTAGATTCTTTTCCCATATAAGCCATTATAGAGCTTTGAGTATAGTTATATGTAGTAGTGTATATATGTCAATCCCGGCCTTCCAATTTAGCTCCCCATCTTATCCCCTGATAGCTGTGAGTAATACTCCATTGTGTGTGTGTACCACATCTTTATGCATTCCTCCATTGTTGGACATTTATGTTGCTTTTATGTCCTGGCTATTGTAAATAGCGTTCCAGTGAATACCGGGGGGCCCTCTCTTAATTCTTTAAAATACATTTAACTTCTTGTCTCATTTTGTGCCCATGGGACTTTCATTTATGAAGGTGACTGGTGACATGGAGTGGCCATGCCATTAAAAGAAGATTTTTATTACTAAAGTTTCCCAGGAAATGGGGACCGAGCATGCTGTGCAAAGCCACATGAGGAAGCACCAGTTTTGATCAGGAGGCAGGAAGAGCAAGGAGAAACCTTAGGCCAGACCTTTATTGAGGTTTCCATGAGAAAGGCAAGGCAGGTCGTTGTAAACAGTTTACAGCTGGCTCATCTGAACAGTATGGGCAGTGCCTGGTACACGGGGACTGCCTCTGGTTGTCTGGTATCTGGCCCTACTTTGGTTCAGGGCATGGGGGAGTACTGGCCTGATGTGTGGAACTTTGATGAGATGGTTGGGAACATGGGCCCTGGGTTGGTTGGTTTGCATGTGAAAAGTTCCCATTGAGCCCTTGGCTAGTGCTGGGCAGTAGAGTCTCTTTCCCAGTCAGCCAGGCCACAGATGTCAGAACGTCAAGAATACAGAAAACATGATACAGTTGATCCCCTGATGCTTAATAGACATGGTTTTAGCTCTCATTTGGATAATTGAAATTATTAGTTCCCTCTGCCAAGGTAACATTACAAGATGACAAAAATTTACTTTAAAACATTATACTTGTACATAATATATGTACTTCTTATGCAGTTTTTTGTTGATAAAATTTAAAGTAGGGAATAAGTGTAGGTATGCCAACCCAGCAATATAGTTGTGAAAATTGTCACAGTGATTTGTTGATAATTGGACAGAAATAATGTTTTCACATTTTTCTCATACAGGATATATTGATTTGTCAAAAAGAAGAGTTTCACCAGAGGAAGCAATCAAATGTGAAGATAAATTTACCAAATCCAAAACTGTAAGTTGATTTTTTAGTCAAATTAGTCCACTGTTCACTCTGTTTAGTAAATAATCTACATGGCATATTGCCGGCAGAAACAAAAACCTAGATTTTCTGGATCTGTATTTCCGTTTTCAGTTCTGTGTTACATAGGAAAATAATTTGAAGACTTCATTTCGAACGAGTGTGACTTCAGTGAGACATCCGTTGTCTCACGATGTTACTACCTTGAAGCACTGAAGTCTAATGTTCTCAGATCAGTACCAGACCATTAGTGTTTTTAAGCTCTTTTATGTTAAATTAACTATGAGTAATTTCAGCTGATTTGGTTATCATAACATGTAAGTTTTGACTTAACTCTTCTGGGGTAAGGATCACAGAGACAGCCAGCTTTTGTGTGCTAAAAAAAAATAAGGTTTGTAAAATGTGTTTGAATTTTGTTTGAAAGCAAGGCAAGGGGCCTGTTACTTGGTGTGGGTCTTCACTCTTCACACACTTTTTTTTTTTTGCTCTAATTTGCTACTTATCCACAGTAAGCACTAATAAAGCAAGAACTGTCATTTCTTCATTGTCATCTTCCTGTATTTTTCTGTTCTTTGGTCCTATTTAGATTTCCCTTTGTTCCCTGGATCTTCAGTTCTTATTGGGAGTTTCTATTGCTTCTCTTTTCTTTATCCTTCTTTTGTGTCTTTTGTTCTCTTCTGCCCTGTGTGTTTTTATCTTCAAGGTAAAATGACAAGAAAACTTTAAATGAAGAGAAGATTTTTTAAATCTTGCTTAACTCTGGTAAAAGAGTAAAATTACAAAAGCCGTGAGATGATTACCCAAATCTTTCAAGTTCCACCAAGTCCAAATTTGAGAAGCACGTCTCTAGGAAATTTCCATTTTGTTTTGTTCCCCTAGGCTATTGTAAAATGCTGTAAAATGAGTACATGAGTAGATCTTATTGGGATGATACGATGTTAGAATGAAATAGCCAATGATATTACCTTCCCTTGGTCAGTTTTTGTATGTACTTAAGATGAAATCTTCTTTCTTAATACACTTTCTCTTCTTTGGGCCCTTTTATTTTTCGGAGATTTGAAAAATTAGAAGCAGTGAGTAGGAGATGGGTAGGATTGAAGGATAATTGTTAAATGATAACAGAGCAAAAGCAATACTAAAATCTCCATCCTGGTTCTGTGCTGTCATGTTGGTGTTGTTGGGGGGGTGTGTATGTGTGTGTATGTGTATGTTTTTGTTAAGTTGTTTCTGACTCTTTGCAACCCCATGGACTGCAGCCCACCAGGCTCCTCTGTCCATGGAATTTTCCAGGCAAGAATACTGGAGCAGGTTGCCATTTCCACATCCAGAGAATCTTCCCAATCCAGGGATCGAGCCCACATCTCTTGTGGAATAGTAGTCCTAATGTCTTACATTTGATCCATGTAAGAACTCTCTACAATAAGAAGGAGAGTTACTGGTATCTCCCTTTTCTAGATGAGGAAACATATTCAGAGAGGTTGGTTTGTCCCAGAATTGACTTGCTCTGGATCTTAGGCTATCAATGCTATGCTGTTTGTGTTTGTTCACCCACTTGAGTTCATTGTTATGGAAAATAAATAATTATGGGGGAAAAAATGTTTTCATTTGGTAATCTTTTGTTGTTAAGGAGTTACTCTAATCAAAGTAACCAAAGGTTTGTTTTCATATGCTATCTTCTAAAATGTAAAAATTTCTTTTTTAAAAAACATAGATCTCTTATCTTTGAATTGTTCTCTTCATTTTTTTTCTAGGTTTACAGCATTCTTCGTCATGTTGCTGAAGTCTTAGAATACACCAAGGATGAACAACTGGAAAGCCTGTTCCAGAGGACTGCCTGGGTCTTCGATGACAAGTACAAGAGACCCGGATATGGTGCCTATGATGCATTTAAGCACGCAGTCTCGTAAGAACTCCTCCTTAGCTCTGCTTTTCCCTTAGTATTACAGCTGCTAGGCCTAGCACACAGGTTGAGAGCCTGACATTTAGTAACACAACATCCATGTAGTAAGTCCTTGTCAAATTTAGAAAAAAATATTTTAGTATAAAAGGCCTATGATACGGGCCAGTCCTCTATAAAGCTGAGCCTGTATGATTTGGTGTTCCATAGTTGGGTAGTTCTTTAAAACATCTGACACCATTGCCTTAAATCTTTTCCTCTCCAAGTTTTGTGATTGTCTTCGGTGACTTCAGGGCCAGCATAGACATTTCATTTAAACTGTAATCTCTTGTTTTCTTTACCTCAGCTGCTTAGACCTTCAGCCCACGCCACGTTAGCCAGTTTTCCATATGACCTCACCCTGGGTCTTACTGTCACCAGGATTTGCTCCTCCAAAATCTTTAATTCACACATTCTGTTCTTTTACCACGGCCTCCTGTCCTTCCAGCTGCCACATTGTCCTACTCTGTCGTCTTAATTCTTATATCAAGCTCTGATTCCAGACCCTTTCTTTCCTCCCTGTCTTTTTACCCTTTCCTGCCTTCTCTTTCTTACTCAACATAGACACATGGTCCGTCATTTCAACAACTTTCTTGCCAGTATCATGAGCTTTGCCCTGTTTTTCCTTCTGTTACATCCAGCCTTGGAGCGATGTTCCTGCCTTCTCTGCACTTATAGACTGCTGGGTGCTGCTAGGAAAAACCACAGTCTTACAGGTTGGTGCCACTGCATATTCATGGTCTCCAACCTCAGCTGGGCCTTAACTGCTGCCCCACACCCTCTTTGCTCCTGATCACTTCTTCCTCCCATTCTTAGATTGGCTGTTTCAGAACTTTTCCACACTTCCCCAGATACCCACTCTATCCCTCTTACCTCACTCTCACCTGCTGTGCTCACTGCCTGAAATAGAAGCCATTGCACAGGATCACCTCCGTTTCCTTCCACTGTCTCATCCAGCTTATCTCTGTCCCACCTGTCATTACCTCTGTGCTCCTGTCACACTGGAGCAGGTCATTCCTGCTCTCAAACTAATCTTAGCACCTGTGCCCAGCTATTGCTGAGGATTATCATCTCCATCTGTTATTCCCTCCCTTGAGTCTTGAGTCTTCAGCCTTTTTCTTTATTGGTTTTGCTCTATCAGCATAAAAATATGCTGAGATTTTTCCCATTTATACTAAAAAACAAACTTTTCAACCTGCCCTCTACTTCCTGTAGGAAGCACAATGTCCTCTCCTTTTAACAGCCAGACTTCTTAAGTTCTCTGTACTTACTATCTCTACTTCTGCACCTCCCACTCCTTCTAGATGTTAATGCTTCACAAGCAGCCTCACCACAGCATTGTTACTTGCCAACCCTTGTCCTTCCAAGGGAGATTAGTCTCCTCAGGCCTCAGAATGGACTTTGAACTGTTAGAGCCTCCATCATGCCTACTCACCTGAGGCTCCAGATCCCTTCCACCTTACCCCCTCCCCTCATGTGACTTAATTTTTTTTATGTCAAATTGTGGGAAAGGTGAGAAGAGTAATAATTATGACAGCAAACATGTATGTAATTCTCACAACCACCTATGGTGTAAGTGCTATTATTCCTATCTTATAGATGAGGAAATTGAGGCAGAGATTAAATTGTCCAAGTTCACACAGCTACCAAATGGTAGAGCCAGGATTCAAACACAAGCATTCTATCTAGGTCTGTCCAGAGTTTATGCTGTTAGAGCATCAAGCACTGCTTTATATTTCTGTCCTCCCTGACTTTAGTCTCGGGCTCCTCAGTCATCTCTTACCTCGGTTTGCTGTCATCATTGGCCCTGCTTCCAGCTTCTGCCTCCTGCACCTTCTCCATTACTGCTCTGCATTAACATTCTTAACAAACTAACATCCTAGCGAATTAATCTTCACTTATTACCGTTAAAGTTCTTCTCTTGCTTCGTCAGCCATGTTGCAACTGTCCAGATTTAACTCATGATAATTTGATGCCACATGTGCTTCATTTTTTTTTCCTTTTAGTTAAAATTTCTGAGATAGTTGGAAACAATATTTTTTGCCTCCAAAGCCATTTTGGTCACTCAACAATGGTAACCACTGTTCTGAAATTATGTGTGTGTCATTATCATTTATGGTATTGATGCATGTAAATGTGTGAATAGATTATGAAAAGTACATACAGAATCTTTTTTATGTTTTAAAATATTTTATTTATCATTGTGATGGGTTTTTAATACTTTACATTTTTACTTGTAATGCTGTTACTGTAAATTTCAGTAATTATCAATTTCTCCAAATTGATACATGTATGCCTACTTCATATTAATTTCTATATAGTATTTACTTGTGAGAATATGCCTTTTTTTGTTCCTCTGTTAAAAAAGGTTTAGGTAATCCCCCCACCTCCGCCCCCTGTTTTTCAAATAGTGCTATGTGAATATCCATGTACATGTCTCTGTGTACACATTTGGAAATTTCTAAGATAGACACCTCAGAATAGAATTGTTGAGTCATGGGACTGATTATATGCACCTTTAAATTTACTTAGTTTTGTTAAAGTTTCTCCAGATTGGTTCTATAGTTTATAGTCCTTTTAGCAATTATATGAGTGTTTCTATTTCTCTTAATCAACATTTGATATATATCTCAGATTTTTCTTTTCTTTTTGCCAAACAGATTGAGTCCAATAGTGTCTTGTTTGGATTTGCATTTTTCTGGTTGTTGGTGGAAGTTGACCACTTTTCATATGTTAATTGACCATTTGTCTTCTGTGAAACATGTTCATCTCATTTTCTTTTTTTTCTGTTGGACTGTCTTTTAGTATCAGTATATCAGAATTTTCTTAAAACAGTCTTGTTAAAATCCTATCATTCTTTTAGTCATTATTTCTTTTTTTCCATTTGTTAATTTGTTCAACAAACATGCCAGTGAACAAGACTCTGGTCCCTGTTTGTGGCACATACGAGGGTCAGATGAAATGCCACTTCATTCTTGAAGCCCTTTCTGACCCCACTGATACCTTCCTCACCTCACCCCAGAAGTGCAAAAATGCACTTCTGTTTTTGGTTGGGTTTTTTTGTTGTTGTTGTTGTTGTTGTTTTAATTTTTTCCATGTTTTTGTTCTTTTTGAGCTCCTTGAAGCAAGGACTGCTAATTACATGTATATGCTTAATTATAGTGGGATGTGAGATATATAAGCAGAATTCATTTATTGCACTTCGCAAGTACTGCTTTTTTTACAGATTGAAGGTTTGTGGCAACCTTGCATCAAGCAAGTCTGTTGGTGCCAGTTTTCCAACAGCCTTTGCTCACTTCATGTCTCAATGTCACATTTTGAGAATTCTTGCAATATTTCAGACTTTTTCATTATTTTGTTGTAATCTGTGATCCCTCAGTGTTACTATTGCAAGAAGATTACATCTCCCTGAAGACTTAGATGATGGTTACCATTGTTTAGGAATGAAGTATTTTTAACAGAAAACAACAGTATGGCATAGGCATAACTTTTATATGCACTGAAAAACCAAACGTGTGACTCACTTTATTGCTAAACGTGCTTTATTGTGGTCTAGAACCGAACCCACAATATCTTCAAGGTATGCCTGTATAGGAGACATTAAATTGCTTGCTTTAGTCAGATCTCTAAAATTTTCCTTTTAATAATGATCATTTGGGTGTTTTCTTTTTGTCATACAGGCCTAAGCACTTCACTTGCATTATCTCATTTAATTCTGCAGTCCAGTGAGATCCACTGTTTTCATTCTTATTTTATAAATTTGGAAATTGAGATCTAGAAAGGCCCCCAAGCACAAAGCTGTTAAATTGTGAAGCTAAGATTTGAACTCTTATATCTGACACTAAACACTGTGCTCTTAAACATTATTCTGTTATATTACGTTTGGTGTCCTAATTATCAGTAAAGTAACCTTGACATTTCGTTGTGTGTGTTTCCTTTCAGAGATCCATCTATTTTGGATAGCTTAGATTTGAATGAAGATGAACGGGAAGTACTCATTAACAATATTAATAGGCGTTTGACCCCACAGGCTGTCAAAATTCGAGCAGGTAAATGATTATTTAAATGCTGTTTAAAATATTTTGCATGTACCAGAAACACTATTAAATAATGAGCCTCACCAAAGAATATGTTGCTATATCAACATCTACCTTTTTCTAAATGCTTGTTTTTCACAGCAAGAAAAGCTAAAGAAATTAAGTAATTTTTGCTTCTACTGAGTTATCGTAAAATGCATATATATTGACACAAGTAAATGAGCTCAGCTAACCTTAAGTTGGCCCTTTTTTTGGGTGGAGTGATTATTTTGTTTTAGTGCATGCTTTAAAATTCTGACAGTACAGTAATACCCTCCCATGCCTCTGGATTAACCACTGTTAATTTAGGATCTATTCTTGCAGCATTTTTTTCTATACCTATGCTGTATAGGAATGTATGCTATTTATGTTCAGATATAAGTTTTTATGTTTTCATAAGAATGGGATCATATTGTGCACCATTTTCTTCAATAAGTTATTTCCATTTGGTATACCATGGCTGCCCTTCCATGAAGAACTTGGAAGATCATTCTTATTTTGAATGTTAGGTAATATTGCATAGAATAATAAACCTTGATATCAGCCAGTCTCCTCTTGATGAATGTTCAGGTTGGGCCAGTCTTTTTTACTGTAGTTGACCCTTAAACAATGTGTGAGAGGGTTGCCCACTCTCTGCACACTCGAAAATTCATATATAATCTCATCAGTCCTGTGTGTCTGTGATTCTGCATCCAAGATTCAACTACCATGGTTCATGTAGTATTGTAGTGTTTACTTTTGAAAAAAATCAACATGTTAAGGAGACCATGCAGTTTAAGGCTGTATTATTGTTAAGGGTCAGCTAACTGTATTACAAAAAACACTGCATTTTGACACCTTTATACACATAGACTTACCCATTTATACAGGTGTTCTATAAGGCAAATTCTTAAAAGTAGGATTGCTGGGTCAGAGTGTGCAGTTTTAAACTATTCTAGACAATTTGTAGTTATGTTACTTTGGTTTTTTATCATTTATTTGGGGGGCTTTGCTGGCTCTCTGCGGCTGTGCAGGCTTTTCTCTAGTTGCAGTGTCCAGACTTCTCATTGTGGTGGCTTCTCGTTGCAGAGCAAAGGCTCTAGGGTGCTTGGGCTTCAGCAGTTGCAGCTCCTGAGCACGGGCTCAGTTGTTGCGGCGCATCAGTCTAGTTGCTCCATGGCATCCTGGATCTGGGATTGAACCCGTCTCCTGCATTGGCAGGCAGATCCTTGACCAGAGTTACCAGGGAAGCCCCTGTGGTTATTATTTCATTCAGATTTCATCACACTCCTACCATTTCACAAATAAGGAACTGAAGCACAGAGGGGTTGGAATTATGATTTCAACCCAAATATAGCCCGAATTCAGGATGTTTGTTAAATTTGTCTGTTTTTTATAGTTTCATCATTCAGGGGCTTGATGTTGATGAGAAGATGTGATGTCCCTGCATGTTCAGATATTTTTAAATATGAAAGTTAATAGCTGGAGTTGATTTCTAATTGAAAGGGTGATAAAATGAAAGCTTTCATAAGTTTTTGAATACTAGTATATTTGTCATATCTCTGATTTCTTTTTAAACTTAATTTCTTTTGCCTATTTTGGAATAAGCTTTTGAATTTCTGTAATTTTAGACATTGAAGTGGCTTGTTATGGTTATGAAGGCATCGATGCCGTAAAAGAAGCTCTGAGAGCGGGTTTGAATTGTTCTACAGAAACCATGCCCATCAAGGTGAGTAGTCTGTTTTCTCCCTCCCTACTGAAATATCCACTTAATCCAAAATTAAATCCAGAGTTTTTTTAATGATCATATTTCATATCAAGTGTTCTTAAAAGTGGCTCTTGATGATACTTGGACTGTTTAAAATTACGTGTAGGCTTTTGTTGTAGCTCCTGCTACTGCCACTATGGATAGAGATTCCTATCGGTAGTTAGTGCCAAAGAACCAGCTGTGCTAAACCGCCTTTACAGTAAGTAGTCACAGTGCCCATTATGCTCATAGAATCTTGAAAAGGACAATATATTCTCTTATATTCACATACAGCTTTCAGGAGATTTGGCCTGACTCTTTCATTAGCGATAAAATTAACTGGATGGCTATTAATCAGAATCTCTTAGAAGAATTTCTTCTATCGGTTTAGTTTAGAACGAAATAGGAATCTTTTTTGTTTGTTTTAGAGACAGATTATCCATTGTGCCAGTGATGCCTATAGTTAGCTTAACCACCAAAGATCCAGAAGTCATATTTCTTCATATTTGGTATGCAGCAGACTACTTCTACTACTGTGTTACATCATAGTATCAATTAGCTTAAATTAGCTTCTGCTACATTAACAAACTACGCCAAATTGCTGTGCTTTGGAACTGGGAGTAAATTTTGGGATGGTTTGTTTTTAAAGCAGTAGATTAGCAAAATGATTCTCAAACATCCTAATTGTTATGTAGTGTGTAGGTACATTCATAATTGAATTTTTGTCTTCCTTAGATTAATCTAATAGCTCCTCCTCGGTATGTAATGACTACAACCACCCTGGAGAGAACAGAAGGCCTTTCTGTCCTCAATCAAGCTATGGCTGTTATAAAAGAAAAAATTGAGGAAAAGAGGGGAGTCTTCAATGTTCAAATGGAGGTGAGGTCAATACTGGGATTTTTTTGCCTTGTTATTAAAGTTTTTAAGAAGTTTCAGTCATGTAACTGATTTGTCTTCTAAAATACCTGATCTGTGACTTACAAAACATGAGATATGTTTAAAACTACAAGTCCTCTAAGTATAAAATAGTCATTGACTGGAGTTTGGGTTTTTAAAAGTAAATAAGAACTATCATGGGGTGGTTATTCAAGACTGTGGTCACTGATCCCCCAATATGAAAAAAATAAAGACAATGAAAATAACTGAAAAAAGAAAGAAGTGATTGATTATCATCCAAATTTAGAATGCTTGAAGTTTGATTTCAGATGAGGAACTACTATGTTTTTCTTGTCTCAACAAGAACAAAACCAAAATTTCATATATAATTTTCAAAATAAATTTCTGTGGAAGAAATTTTGAAGCCAGAAGATGGATTTTTACAGGTCATCTTTTTGTGTGTTTGAAAGATATAGTGACTATACAGCCAATATATATTTTCAGTTTTATTATCTCATGGGATTTATTGGTAGTATTTCAGTGCTCAGAATAAGTTAAAATACCAGGCAGTAATAGTATTGAAACTGAAGTTGTGTGTGTTTAACTACATTCACATTGAAATTGTGCCTTTGCTTCCACAGCCCAAAGTGGTCACAGATACAGATGAGACCGAACTTGCAAGGCAGCTGGAGAGGCTTGAGAGAGAAAATGCAGAAGTGGATGGAGACGATGATGCAGAAGAAATGGAAGCCAAAGCTGAAGATTAACTTTGTGGGAAACAGAGTCCAGTTTAAGGAACACAAAGCAGCCTTCCTGGCTGTAAACCCTAGACTTAAAAGTTTTCCAGTATTGAAAACTTCAAAGCTGAATATTTTTTATTTCTAAGTATTTAAATGTTCCAACAGACCAAAACATGAAATGCCCTCCTAAATGTTAGCTGTTTACACACAGTAGCTCCAAAACCTTGAGCATTTTTTAAGGGAGTGGCCTGATTTCACTAGAGACAGATCTTCAAGACGAGACATAAATTGGGCTTATGATTTCCATTTCTGATATCTCCAGATTGGCACCCCTTTGTAGTTTAGTGCCTCCATGAGATTTACCAGAGGCACCCAAAAGCGAATAGTTCCAACCTTTCTATATAAAATGTATCGAGCAAACATTAAATAAATTTCTGGGATATTTAACCATAGGTTTCTTCCTTATTATCACCAGTTGAAAGCATTACGATTCCTAAGAATTTCATTTTATTTGAAATGTAGTAATTTAAAGGCAGGTGACCAGAGGATAAGTATAGCAGATCCTTTCAAAAGGAAGGTTTACAGAGACTTTGCCAGTGGTCGAGTGGTCAGGACTCCATGCTTTAACAGCTGAGGGCCTGGGTTTGATCCCTGGTTAGGGAGCTGAAATCCCGTGAACCGTGTGCTGTGTGCCAGGCACCCTCTCCCCCCACCTCACCCCCTTTAATAAAGAGGGTTTAGAGAACATTTTAATTAGTGAAAGTTTACTCCTAGGGGAAAAAAAGCCTTAAAATGTAACACATTAGTTGAGTGCCTTTTACCTATTTGAGACTGATGACAACATGTGGTCAGAAGGAGAATTTATCACACTGTTCCTTGTTGGTGTACTAAGCTGCTTGTCTTGAGTTTGTAATTCAAGGTGGTAAAGGGGGGATTGTTTTTGTTTTTTTTTAACTTTAGTTTTTTGGGGTTTTTTTTGTTTGTTTCTGTTTTTTTTTAAGAAAAAGATGCTGCTTTGTAAATTTAGTTATTTTGAGTATCATTGCCCAACTATTAATTTTTTTTTCCAGTAAAATATTTGCTAGGTGCCACCTTAGAGTTTCACTTCTCTTCCTAACAGGTTAGGGATCTGTTTGAACACAATTAACAATCATTTTTCAAAATGTTTCCATCATTTTTTTAAAGAACTGATTGTTTTAAAGGTAAATAAATAATATATACAAAGGCAAATAAATTTGATAGATAACACATGGTTTGCAGTTACAGTGGCCAGGGTTAACTTGTTAACAAGTTAACAAGTCTTGAGTTAACTTTGGTTTACTTCATAAATTTAATCTCTTAGGATATCTGAGGTACTGGATAAATTAATTTTACTAATTATTCCCAAGAATAGCTATTTAAATACTTAGAAAATTAAATATAACCCACCTTACTCAATCCAGGACTAGACTTAACTTACTGTTAAAGGGATTGGGAAATAGAAGAGTGTGTTGGTGAGACATTTAAGCTGTTTGTGAAGGTTTGTCCCTTTGTTTAATTTAGCAGCCTCTACTAGCTCTTTAGATCCTGGTCTAACAATATAACTTTTCATGAGGGAGCCATGGCTGCTAGCTTGCATGCCATACTGAATATTTAGAGGAGAATCTGGATGTATTCAACACATAATTTTCAGTTCAGTTTTTTTCTGAGGAGTTAAAAAGTCTGTAAAGCTCACAGCATCACGAATGTTATCAAACTATATAACAGGTGCTCCTTAAATGTTTGTTGTAAGCAGAAGAATTGACTTTTCACTTTGTTCACTGGATTTTTTAATATTCAAAAGCCATAACTGTCGAGAAATACTGGTGGCGTCCGTGGTGAGTGGTTTATATCCTATGCAGGCCTTTTGTTCAGTTCCACAACAATTTTGCAAATTTTTAACCCTTGCCAGAGAAAAAGAGCAATACCTCACTGATGATGGAGAAGACTAAACTTTCCCTGCTAACCTAAAAGTATCACTTTCAAATATGAGAACAAGATCACACCCAGCTCTAAAAACTTGAACAGATTGACAAAAGATAACTGACCAGTTTACCCAAATTTTCAATCTGTCCGCATAAAGACTCACTAGAAATTGAGTTTCATCTTCTCCCAGTTCTGTCTTTGAGGTCAAGTGGTTATCAACTCATAATTGAAAATTAGCAATAGTTTGAGTCTCATTTAGGTATTATAATTAGTTGAAAATTTTAAGTGGCTGGAAAAATACAAACATCCAAATGATTTTTCATGTTTTCTAGTAAAACAAGACAAACCAGTATTTAATGAGGATAATGCTCAAACACTTAGTGGAAACCCACAGATGGCCTTACTTGACCTAGTTAACTTCTGCAGTAAAAGCAATTTAAGTGGTTAGGAATTTTTAAAAATTCAAGTGCTAGTACCCTTGGCAAGAACTGTCCCATAATTTACTTCAAAGTGATAGTCAACTACTTTTCAACTCATGATACTGGTACCTAGTGTATAGAGTGGGGTATAATTGTGCCAATTTACAATCAAAAAGCCATCAAACCAAATGCAGCTTAATTCAGATAGAAACATATTGAGAGCAAAAAGCAATAAAAAAAACTAAGGACACAGACCTTGGTAAAATGCCAAATGGAAAATGGTGCTTTAAAAGTCAGTCTCTTACAATGTAAGGAATAAAGTAAAACATTAGCTTGGAATTCCTGATCTGAATGATCAGGTATTCTAGACAAGATCAAGAGAAGATAGTTCAAACTATTGAATAAATTTTTACTTAAGCACTTTGGAGGTGTTCACGCCCCTTAAATGTAAGTTACATATCTATTCATTAAAAGGAAGTTTAAGCAGTTGTACTGGCAGATTACTGTATTAAGCTTGAAAGTAATAAAAATGTTTTTAAAGACACTGTATGATACAGACTTTTCACTACTACAGATTAACCTAACTGATGAAGCTTCTTGGTACCTATTTGTCTCCATTAATCTTCATTCTAAAACCAAAACTTCATGCCTTGATTTAATTCTCCCATAGACATCTTTCTCTCCTTTAGAAAGCTCCTGCTCTGCATCTTTCTAAACAACTTTTTTCACAGAAAAGCTGTAATTTTACTTTTATGTATGTGACTAATCCAACTGAGTCCATGATTTCTTTTCTGCAATGTATAATACTTAACGAAGGCTTTTTTTCAAAACAAAATATTTCATTCAAGATTTTACCCCCATCCCCACTTTTAAGATGAGGCTTTAAGTTCACTTGAGATGTTTTTATAATCAGCTTGCCTAATAATTCATATAGCCTTAAGCATGAAAAACCTTTGAAAACTGAAACTTTGTATAGGAATTCTAATAGCCAGGAACAAGTGTCAATTTTTACTCATTCCAAAGGAGCTGAGGTGCTGACAGCATTTCCGAGAGCTCCATCATGAGGTTATAGTATTTTGTTCAGTGTTACGTGGCCAGTTAGTGTGACAAGGGAGACCTACTTTGGTACCCAAGGAATGGCTGGTTGTGATAATGGGCAAAAGTCAAGGTGCTGACTTGGCTGACAAGGCTGCTTCAGCATTTACAGGTTAACTGTAAATGAAGGTGGGGAAGGCAATAGCACCACTGCCAGTTTTAAGGAACTCCACCAATCTCACCCCAAAGTAGTACAAAATATAAAAAGTTAAAAATCTTAACATACTCCTATTGTCCAGGAAATCCTGTGTCATCTGGTAAGAGGGAGGCATCTCAGTCCCATTCTCTCAGGTCCTTGTCACGTTAGCTTCTTGATAGCTTCAATCCACTCTGAACGCTCAGCCTTGCTGCTGGCCTGGATATAATAGTGTATGTCATCCTTAGTAATCACTTTGAAGAGATTTCCCTGGACATTCCCTTTAACCCCTAGGCAGGAAGAAAAAAAAGAAAAATCAGTGAGTGAATATCCATGTCTGCTTTCAGCTGGGAGCAGCTGAAAGTCACTGAGACAGACAAAAACACATAATGAAGTATTAGTACAAATGCACATATATGGTTAGGCAATCCTGCCAGAGACATGCTTTTCTATTTGCCTCCCATCCATCCCCTCTCCCTCATCTGTGCCTTAAGGCCTGCCAGTTTTATGTCTGAGGGTTCTTGAAAGACCTCTTGGCCTACCCTCTATGCTAACCACAAGTCTGCAGTCTCACTCACATCAAAAAAGTCCAGAAGGTTTTATGTTAAAAGCATGGACAGATGTGGAATTTGACTGGAATTGTTTAATTTCTTTGAACCTCAATCTTCCCATCCATAAATTGAGAATAGTACTACCTGCCTTAGCTGTCTAGTGTGAAATTAGCATGACAACAGATATTAAATTGTGTTGTCAATCTTTAAACACTATTGTAAGCTGTTCTTAGGTGGAAGCTTATGGGCCAGTAAGCACAGGAAAGGATGGGAAAGAATGTTAAAGATGAGAATTATTTAGTTGTGTTGTTAAAACACTAAGAATACCCCATGTGTCCTTTCTCTGATTTTGAAATTGGCTTCAGAATTCACACCATTCATTGTCTCACTGAGAAAGCCCCACTCAGGCCCCACAGCTTAGCCCATCATCAGCAGAGCATTACTGAGAGAGCAGGAGGGAGGACCCTGAGATGAGGATGGGGCCAAAGTTACCCCTTACCAGTGGGAACGCCATTATCCTCCAGAGCTGACACCAGGGAGCCACGAAGAGAAAAGCCACCCACTGGCCGGTTCTCTTCCTGCAAAGGAAAGGAGGCCTGATCAGGGGCTGTGAAGGCACAGAACTCTTATTAGAAGAGACGAAAATAACTGGACCACACTACCCGTCTCCTGAGAAACCTGCATGCAAGTCAAGAGGCAACAGTTAGAACCTCACATGGAACAACTGGTGCAAACTCGGGAAAAGGAGGATGTCAAGGATGGATATTGTCACTCTGTTTATTTAACTTACATGCAGAAATGTCGGATTGGATAGATCACATGCTGGAATCAAGATTGCCAGGAGAAATATCAACAACCTCAGATATGCAGATGATGCCACTCTAATGGCGAAAAGCCATTTAGAGGAACTAAAGAACCTCTTAATGAGGGTGAAAGAGAAGAGTGGCTTAAAACTCAACATTCAAAAAACTAAGATCATGGCATCCAGTCCCATCACTTCATGGCAAATAGATGGGAAAAAAGTAGAAGCCGGGACAGATTTTCTTTTCTTGGGCTTCAAAATCACTGCAGACAGTGACTGCAGCCATGAAGTTAAAAGATGCTTTCTCCTTGGAAGGAAAGCTATGAAAAATCTAGACAGCATATTAAAAAACAGAGACATCATTTTGCAGGTCCAAATAGTCAAAGCTATGGTTTTTCCAGTAGTCATGTACGGATGTGAGAGTTGGACCATAAAGAAGGCTGAACACTGAAGAACTGAATCTTTTGAACTGTGGTGTTGGAGAAGACTCTTAAGAGTCCGTTGGACTGCAAGGAGAGCAAACCAGTCAATCCTAAAGGAAATCAACCCTGAATAATTCATTGGAAGGACCAGGCTGAAGCTGAAGCTCCAATAATTTGGCCAACTGATGTGAAGAAATGACTCATTGGAAAAGACCCTGATGCTGGGAAAGATTGAGGGCAGGAGAAGAACTGGGAGACAGAGGATGAGATAGTTAGATAGCATCACCAACTCAGTGGACATGAGTTTGAGCAAACTTTGGGAGATGATGAAGGACAGGGAAGGCTTGTGTGTTGCAGTCCATGGGGTCACAAAGATGTTGGACAGGACTGAGCAACTGGGCAATAATAACAGAAGAATCATGCTTTCATCATACCACCCTCAGCCTGCTAAAGAATTAGTCCATGAGAGTCATTTGTAACAGAAGATGAGGCTGAACTTGGACATCCCATGGCAAGTTATCTGCATGAGCGAGGAAGTCTGGGCTTCAATTCACAGCCAGTCACATCAGCGCCACGCCCGTCTCTGCCCCTTAGCCCTCCCTGTGGTCTAGCAGGGTCCCCAGGGGCTCCTTCAAGTTCTTGGCTTAGGGTTGGGTTCCTGGCTGAATGCCCACTCTTCATTATTTCAAAAAACAAATGAAAATCACACAGCGACCAAGACAAGGCTGAACACAGTAATACTTATTATCTGAAATTCAGAATTATGGCTTAAATATTAAATGGCAAAAGAAACCTTTCAAAACATTGGTGGGGACAAGAGGATGAGGGGGCAGAATTCACGGCCTCTTTGGGTGGAAAGGGGTGAAAAGAGGCTGGAAAGCACCAGTCAGGAGTCTTCATCAGCTCAGCTCCCCCTTCATAGGCACACAGCCAGCTTTGGAGGAACTGAAAGATGCTTTTCCTCCCAAAACAATCCAAAAGATCCACCGAGTAGGCGACGATGTGATGAAAGAAAAGAGACGTCAGACTGGGAGGAGCAGTTTGCAACCGTGGAAGGAAAGGCCTCGTGGGTGGAAGTTATGGTAGGGAGGCTGGGAGGAAGGCTGGAGGTGGAACCAGCCCCGGCTCTGCTGGGGAGAGACGTGTCTGGAAGCACGACAAGGCACTCACTTTGGAAGGGTCGTAGTAATGCAGAAAAGCCGGGTCCTTCCTCAGAACAAAGCGCCGCACCTTCCAGTTTTTCCTCTTGTGCCCCTGAGGCAAAGAAAGGGTGTATGGCTCACGGGTGACAGCTTGTAGTCACATCCTCCCACCCTCACGCCTCTCATGCCTTAGGCCTGCTTGTCTGGGGCTCCTATGGGCGCAGACATGTGCCAGCCCATTGCCTTGCTCCCTGTGGCCACCGCCGGGCCCTGACTTAGCAGATGCTGACAACTAATGCCCTCTGGAGTCTCAGCCCTTCCCACCCTTTGTGGGGGTTCCCGCCTCCCCTGAGGTCCAGGACTGTCCACCCCCTCCCTGCTCCAAGGCGGCCGTCCCATACCTGCTTGGCCAGATAGCCTTGCTTCACCACAGTGCCACTTAACTCCATGGTGCTGAGGCTAATTTCTTCCTTGGGACTTATCTTCTTCTTGCAGCTCTCAGCCTGGTAGGAAGGAGAGACAAGGACTCTTGTCACCAACACATCCCAGCTCCAGGCTGGGGAAGCTCCCACAGGGGAAAGGAAACTCCCAGTCCACCTGGGGGTGAAGCTGTCCCGCCTCCCCGAGCCCTAGGCCTCTCCCCGCTGACCGTGGAGCCCTGGCCCACACTGGGTGGCCTCTTCCTCTCTCTGCTCCCGTGCCAAGAGGAGCCCAGGCCCTCACTTACGAATGTGTACAGGGCCGTGGAGTCGTCCAGGAACTGCTCAGACAGATCCCCCGAGCGAGTGGCTCCCGTGCTTCGGGTGCCTACTGGCCGAAGGAAGTTCTCCTCCATGAGCACCGAGGCCAGCGTCACAGCCTCCAGACGGCTGGCGGCAAAGCTGCTGGAGAGGAGCCAGTCCACCAGGGAGGAGCCTGCGGCGGGCAAGGGCAGCACCCGTCAAGACAACAGGCTCCAGCTTCCTCAGGGGTGCCTGGCTGTGACCTCATTGACCTTGACCCCTGGGGCAGCCTTGAACAGCCTTGGGGCTCAGCCCTGAAGCAGATCAAACGCCACCCCCGCTGCCCAGAACTGTGGCCGCACCCACATCTCAGGCCGGCCCGTTGGCTGCCAGGCAGCTCAGGCCTCAACACCACTGAGTCCCAGGTCACCAAGCCCCAGGTCTCCGGGGCCTGGCGTGGCCCCGGGAGTGGGGTGGGGGTCGGGGGCTCACCTATGAAGGTCTTTTTGTAGGTGCTTCCCTGCTCCATGTTGGGGCTTGGCCGGATTCCGCAGGTACTGTCGCGCATCTTGTCCACGATGCGACTACACGGAAGAAAGGCAAAAGAGAGGAGACCCTTGTCACATTGACAGGAATCAGGGTGGGTCCATGAGCCACTGCTGAGGGTATAAAGCACGTGGCAAGTGGCATAATACATATCGCAGAGAAAGAGGGGTATTCTGTTATGCATCAGAATTTGAGAGGTAGGATTGGGGAACATTTCTTCTTGCTCATCTAAATGTTCTAATAATTCTATGCTAGACAGGTATTATGTTTGTAGTAAAACTAAAGAGCTGTGACTTAATTTAAAAACAGAAGAATTATCTATGATCCGCTACATAAAGTCCAAACTCCTCCAGCTACTTCTCAAAAGTCACCCATCACTTGAACATACTCTCATCTGCTGCTGGTCCTCCTGCACTCACCATGGGTTAGCCACGCCCTAGATGCACAAATGATGCTTTTGAACTGTGGGGCTGGAGAAGACTCTTGAGAGTCCCTCAGAAAGCAAGGAGACCAAACCAGTCAATCCTAAAGGAAATCAACTCTGAATGTTCATTGGAAGGACTGATGCTGGAGCTCCAATACTTTGGCCACCTGATACAAAGAGCCGACTCACTGGAAAAGACCTTGATACTGGGAAAGACTGAGGGGAAGAGGAGAAGGGGCAACAGAGGATGAGATGGTTGGATGGCACCATTGATACAATGTACATGAACCAGGGCAAAGCCCGGGAGATGGTGAGGAACAGGGTGGCCTGCCATGCTGCAGTCCATGCGGTCACGAAGAGTCAGACACGACTTAGCGACTGAACAACAAAGATTCACAATCAAGATTCCAGAGCCTGGTATGGAGTTTTTTGGTAAGCCTGGGAAGTTCTGCTTCCTGCAAAGTTAGTGGGCATTTCCTGCAGATGTGCGGACATAACAATTTCCATGATGGGAATTCCTTTCATCCTTCCCTACTTTATAGTATCACTGCCACCACTGACCTGCTTTCCTTCTGTTCTGTGGGACGATCCTGGCTACCAATGGCAGACCTTCTCTATTTCTCTATTTAGGTACTTGGGCTGGAAAGCCCCTGAGATGAGACTTTGCCTATGCCCATATGCATGAGCACCTAGAGCGATGTGTGGCATGCAGCAAGCACTCAGTAACTATTTCTTAAAAGAGTGAATGGATGGATGGATGAAGAATCCCACAGACCAAGAATGCAGCTCTTAACAGGACACATGTTCTTGCCACCAGGCTGCAAATAAGACTAATGACTTGGTGAGTGGAGATTCCTGGGGAGCTGTTTGTATAGCCCTGAGCATCCCGGTTGACACTGAAGGGAGGGGGTCAAGACACTGAGGGGGCAGGAGCAGCAGGGACCCCAAGAGGCCACAGGGCAGGCTGGCAGGGCCACTCCCACCGAGAGAAAACAACGTCAACAGGCCCTGGAGCACCGCTGCAGCACCAGCCAGGCCCCTCCTGAGGCGGGCAGACAGCAGAGGCTGCAGCAAAGCCAGGGGGGGCGAGGGCAGGGCCGGGCACGCACTGCAGGCTGATGTGAGGGGGCAGCTTGAAGGAGTTCTTCAGTAGGTGAAGCTGTTGGACCTTCCCCGGCTGCCCCGCGTGGATGGCTCCTGTTATCTCGAAGGCCCAGGCGTCCCTCTCCTCTCGAGAACAGGCCTCCAGGAAGTACTCCGTGGATGTTTGAGTTTTCAGCTTAATGAGGAGCTGTGGGAAGAGACAGCCAGTCAAACCAGGCAGGCGAGAGAGAGAGAGAGAGAGAGAGAGAGAAAGCTGGCTGGGCAGGAAAAAGGACAGAACCGAAGCAGATCCGGGAGACCACGTGACCCAGAGACTGCCGAATGCCTCACCGCTCGACCACGTCCCAGCCATCAGGCCTTTAAAGATTCCCTTGTGCACCTCCAGTGACAGAGAGTTCACCACCTTGGCCCCTATGAACAGACTAATTAGCGCAGAGTCTGCTTCCTGGGGCCTTGGTCTCTCTGCTCCCGATTCTGCCTTCCAGGTTAAGCTCACCTCTTATGAGAGCCCCTGTGCTAAAGAGGGAAACACACAGGCTTCCAGGTGAGACTCAGCTAGATCCATAGCTGCGGTCGCTTGGGCACATTAAAGGACCCACTGAGCCTTCCAGTGCCTTCATCTGTCCCATGAGGCTATTAATGCCTACCCCGAAGGAACTCTGATCCTTTTGATCAGCTTTTTTATTTATTTTTTTAAATGTATTTATTTTTAATTGAAGGATAATTGCTTTACAATAGCTTGGTTGGTAAAGAATCTGCCTGCAATGCAAGAGACCCAGGTTCTATCCCTGGGTCACAAAGATCCCTTGGAGGAGACAACGGCAACCCACTCCAGTATTCTTGCCTGGAGAATCCCACGGACAGAGGAGCCTGGAGGGCTACAGGCTATGGGATCCAAGAGTCGGACATGACTTAGCGACTAAACCATTGTGTTGGTTTCTGCCAACATCAACATGAATCAGCCATAGTATACCTATGTCCCCTCCCTCGTGAATGTCCCTCCCTCTTCCCTCCCCATCCCACCCCTCTAGGTTGTTACAGAGCCCCAGTTTGAGCTCCCTGCGTCATACGGCAAATTCCCATTGGCTATTTACATATGGTAATATGAGTTTCCATGTTACTTTCTCCATACATTCCCACCCTCTCCTTCCTCCACCCCCCCATCCCGCCCCCGTGTCCCTAGTCTGTTCTCTATGTCTACGTCTGACCATGTCGCTAGTCTGTTCTCTATGTCTACGTCTGACCATGTCGCTAGTCTGTTCTCTATGTCTACGTCTGACCATGTCGCTAGTCTGTTCTCTATGTCTACGTCTGACCATGTCCCTAGTCTGTTCTCTATGTCTACGTCTGACCATGTCGCTAGTCTGTTCTCTATGTCTACGTCTGACCATGTCCCTAGTCTGTTCTCTATGTCTACGTCTGACCATGTCCCTAGTCTGTTCTCTATGTCTACGTCTGACCATGTCGCTAGTCTGTTCTCTATGTCTACGTCTGACCATGTCCCTAGTCTGTTCTCTATGTCTACGTCTGACCATGTCCCTAGTCTGTTCTCTATGTCTACGTCTGACCATGTCGCTAGTCTGTTCTCTATGTCTACGTCTGACCATGTCCCTAGTCTGTTCTCTATGTCTACGTCTGACCATGTCCCTAGTCTGTTCTCTATGTCTACGTCTGACCATGTCCCTAGTCTGTTCTCTATGTCTACGTCTGACCATGTCCCTAGTCTGTTCTCTATGTCTACGTCTGACCATGTCCCTAGTCTGTTCTCTATGTCTACGTCTGACCATGTCCCTAGTCTGTTCTCTATGTCTACGTCTGACCATGTCCCTAGTCTGTTCTCTATGTCTACGTCTGAGCTGCTTCTTGATTGGGTCTAGTCATCCCAAGTCTTTCACACATTCCTCATATAATGTGGTTTAACTTTCTCAACCAGTTCATGTCCAAATCTCCATCCATCCCAAAGTTGTACCTGAGCCAGACAGCTTGTAAGGGCATCTTCCTCCTTTTCAGCAAGACAGTGTTCTCTATGGGCAATAATATCTGTACCAACATTGGAACTCTGCTTTTCAATTAACCACTTGCTCTCATAACAAGAGCATTAACTGAAAGAAGCAATCTGACGATCTTCTTCCTTGACTCCTCCAAGCCTAGCAAATTTCTTGGCACTTACTGAGCCCTCGGTAAATGATTAATTCAGATTCTTTTCTGATGGTAGATGGTAAATGATTAATTCAGGTTCTTTTTAGGGTTGAGCTGCTCTTGACTTTTGGAACACGTACCCACTGGGGGATGAAAGCCATCCTCCTGAACCTGAAGTAGCAGTAACTACTCACATTTGTGTGGTACCTCCTAGGCTACAAGTGTTTTGACCCGCCATTACCTTCATGATCCTCATCATAGCTGTGAGCGACAGTCAGGTGTCATTACATGATCCCAGTTTATAGACGAGGATCTCAGGCTCAGAGAGGTTCAATTACTTGCCCAAGGTCACGTGCCTCGTATGTGGCGCCACCAGGATTTGAGTCTAGGTTTTTCAGTAACTCAGCTGTTACCATGACTCATTCCACCTTTGCCTAAGAGGCCAGGGAGGGAGGTGGTCCAGGGAGCGGGAGGGAGGCGCTGGGAAGAGGGGCCTTCACTTACCGGGCGATTTCCATACTCCAGGCAGGGGCAGGTGATGGTGCAGCCATCCAGAAGGATGCGGCCCTTGGGAGGGGTCACTTTCCGACCCCCCTCGAACTTGTAGTATAGCAGCGTGTTCTGCCGAAGAATGAACCACCGCGCTTTCCAGTTGTGGACAATGTGACCCTGAGGACAGACAAGAGAGCCCTGAGGTGAGCTGGCCGAGGGGACGACCTGGTCACAGGGAGAGAGTCTCGTTGCACAGGTGGTCAGACTGTGCCACGGGATCGACTCTCCAATAAGGAGACAGCGCTCTCTCTCTTGCTTATCAATTTTATTTTCTAATTTTGAAATAATTTCAATTCAGAGAAAAGTTGAAGACAAGCATAAAACTTTTTTACAAAAAAAAAACTTTTACAAAACCACTAAGAGTTTTTAACATGATGCTCTATATGTTAATATTGATGTTTCTCAATATTTTATTGTGTCTTCTACCAAAAAATAAAAAGTATCCAACATAACCACAATACAATCAACATTAGGAAATTTACATGAATATGTTATTTTCCTCTGTTCCATAAACTCCACTCAAGTTTCACCAATTATCCCAATAATGTCCTTAAGAGCCAAAAGATCCTGTTCCAAATTACATGTTTATTTTCATTTTCATGAAGAAATTGTGAGCTTTGGATCTCTTTGCCATCTCTTTTGAGTATGTAACAAAGCCTTTGGCGTTCACTTTCTAGTTCTCATTTGTTCTTTTTTTCTGTGGTTATAAGCCTTGAAAGAAACTGCAAAGTACACAGAAGAAAAGATCCCAGGGACTTCCCTGATGGTCCAGGGGCTAAGACTCTGAGCTCTCAGTGTAGGAGGCGTAGGTTCCATCCCTGATCTGGGAACTAGATCCCACATGCAGCAACTAAGAGTTCACCTGCTGCAACGAAAGATCCTACATGCCTCAATGAAGACCCAGCACAGCCAAATAAATAAATATAAAAAAGAGAGAAATCCTGTTAATACCTTGCATTTCCTTTGTCTTTTTCCCTTTCATTATTTTTTTAATCAAGAGCATATTATGTATAGTTTTATTTTCTAGTCTTTCTTTTATTGACTTTGCCAAGCATTTTCTCACACCATTGTTACTGCTAAGTCACTTCAGTCGTGTCCGACTCTGGGCGACCCCACAGACGGCAGCCCACCAGGCTCCCCCATCCCTGGGATTCTCCAGGCAAGAATACTGGAGTGGGTTGCCATTTCCTTCTCCAATGCTTGAAAGTGAAAAATGAAAGTAAAGTCGCTCAGTCGTGTCTGACTCTTAGCGACCCCATGGACTGCAGCCTACCAGGCTTCTCCGTCCATGGTATTTTCCAGGCAAGAGTACTGGAGTGGGATGCCATTACCTTCTCTGTCTCACACCATTAAATTTCTTTAAAATATGTCTTTTAATGACCAACAGGTGGATGTATCATTTCCTTGCCCATCTCCTGTTGTTTACAACTGAGGTTTCCTTTTTTTTTCCCCACTATTATAAACAACTCCATAATGAATATCCTTGCACGTAAGTCTTGATCTGCATCTCTAATTTTTTCCCCTTAGGATATATTCCCCCCCAAAATATTACTAGTTGAGGGATGTAGGCAATTTTTAAAGTTGCTAAGTCACTTCAGTCGTGTCCGACTCTGTGTGACCCCATAGACAGCAGGCCACCAGGCTTCCCCATCCCTGGGATTCTCCAAGCAAGAACACTGGAGTGGGTTGCCATTTCCTTCTCCGATGCATGAAAGTGAAAAGTGAAAGTGAAGTCGCTCAGTTGTGTCTGACTCAGCAACCCCATGGACTGCACCCTACCAGGCTCCTCCATCCATGGAATTTTCCAGGCAAGAGTACTGGAGTGGGGTGCAATTGCCTTCTCCGTTGTAAAGCTGAAGCCACAAATTAAGAACTCTAACCATCTGACCTAACCTGGTGTGACAGACCTAAAAGGCAGGAGAGTCTGGGGAGCTCTCAGATGGGTAATGAAGCCAATGGACAAGAAAGGCAGGTGAAGACAGAAAGTCTGTTTCTAGAACAGACCAGTGGATGGGGGAATGTCTGCTGAAGAATCAGAATAGAATAACTTTGTACACGCTCATGAAAGCAATTTTCTTGGCATATTTCCCAGAGCAGAGCCCAATTAGGGCTGGATTCTAACCAAGAGAGATGCACTTTATCTGAATCAGAGACTGTCCCCGATTCACTGGCTTCCTGACCCAGCACTAATTCACTTTCAAGGTTCCTTCAGTTGTCACATCTATGATGCTGCAGTTCTGTTCGACACTCAGCAGGTATGCACTGAGCGTGTTAGCGAACTGGAAATTGTTGAAGGGGTGACTGTGTGAGCACTGGTCTAAGCCAGACAGAATTTACTGTGGTAACTATGGCATATATATAGGCTTCCCTGGTGGCTCAGACGGTGAAGAATCTGCCTGCAAGCAGGAGACCTGGGTTCAGTCCCTGGGTAGGGAATATCCCCTGGAGAAGGGAATAGTTACTCACTCCAATATTCTTGCCTGGAGAATCCCATGGACAGAGGAACCTGGCAGGCTAGAGTCCATGGGGTCACAAAGAGTCAGATACAACCGAGTGACTAACATTTTCACTTTTCCATATACATATATATTTAACTGGAATTTTAAATATATATATTTATATAAATATGTATACATCTATATATATTAAATATTTATATATATACATTTATATATTTAATTGTCACCCTACTAACTTAACTTATATGGAGAGTACATTATGTGAAATGCCAGGCTGGATGAAGCACAAGCTGGAATCAAGACTGCCGGGAGAAATATCAATAATCTCAGATATGCAGATGACACCACTCTTATGGCAGAAAGTGAAGAACAACTAAAGAGCCTCTTGATGAAAGTGAAAGAGGAGAGTGAAAAAGTTGGCTTAAAACTCAACATTCAGAAAACTAAGATCATGGCATCCAGTCCCATCACTTCATGGCAAATAGATGGTGAAACAATGGAAACAGTGAGAGATTTTATTTTTGTGGGCTCCAAAATTACTGTAGATAGTGATGGCAGCTATGAAATTAAAAGACACTTGCTCCTTGGAAAAAAATCTATGACAAACCTAGAAAGCATATTAAAAGGCAGAGACATTACTTTGCCAACAAAGGTCCGTCTAGTCAAAACTATGGTTTTTCCAGTGGTCATGTATGGATGTGAGAGTTGGACTATAAAGAAAGTTGAGCACTGAAGAACTGATGCTCTTGAACTGAGGTGTTGGAGAAGACTCTTGAGAGTCCCTTGGACTGCAAGGAGTTCCAACCAGTCCATCCTAAAGGAAATCAGTCCTGAATATTCATTGGAAGGACTGATGCTGAAGCTGAAGCTCCAATCCTTTGGCCACCTGATAGGAAGAACTGACTCATTGGAAAAGACCCTGATGCTTGGAAAGATTGAAGGCAGGAGGAGAAGAGCACAAGAGAGGATGAGATGGTTGGGTGGCATCACCTACTCGATGGACATGAGTTTGAGTAAGCTCTGGGAGTTGGTGATGGACAGGGAAGCCTGGCGTGCTGCAGTCCATGGGGTCACAAAGAGTCGGACACGACTGAGCAACTGAACTGAACTGAACTGGAATATAGTTGCTTCACAAAGTTGTGCTAATTTCTGTTGTACAATGAAGTGCATCAGCCACATGCATACATATATCCCCTTCCTCTTGAGCCTCCCTCCTACCCTAAATACGACTTTTAACAGTTACTCTGACAAGAGTTTACTAATATGTCTAAGTGTCATTACGTCACATGGTGCGTGAGCTGTGGGCATGAGAGGACGGATATGTCAAGCTGAATTATACAGTTTTGTTCTCTTCACTCTGTCCTGTACCAAGAATCCACATCACACGATGGCTGATGGCTGTTCTTGACACAAGCTGACATGTTTAAAGAAATGACAAAGATTTGGCTCTAACTCCTCAGCAATGGGGGTCCTGTAATGCCCTCCACATGGCCCAGACTCAGGTCTCCTTGCTCGATGAGCCCCTGCTGAGGGGGTTCAAGTGCACCATTAGCAGTAAATGCAGTGAACTTCCAGCACACAGGTGTGGCTGGTGCAGAGAAGAGATTTCCATCTAAGCTGATGGCATGGGGGCCAGTGTAAGGTGAAGGAGAGGAGGTGAAATAATCTTAAAACATAGGTATTCTGGCCTGAATTATGCCCTTCTCCCAAATTCAGATGTTGATGCCCCAACCACTCCCCCCACCTCTACCTTGCGCTGTGCTGTGCTTAGTCACTGAGTCCTGCCTGACTCTTTGTGACCCCGTGGACTGTAGCCAGCCAGACTCCTCTGTCCATGGGATTCTCCAGGCAAGAATACTGGAGTGCATTACCATGCCCTCCTCCAGGGGATCTTCCCAACCCAGGGATTGAACCCAGGTCTCCGACATTGCAGGCGGATTCTTTACCACCTAAGCCACCAAGGAAGCCCTAGAATATTGGAGTGGGTAGCCTATCCCTTCTCCAGGGGATCTTCCTGACCCAAGAATCACCACTACCTTAGAATATGACTGTATTTGAAGAGGTCTTTAAGGAGGTGATTAGGTTAAATGGGGCCATTGTGTGCACGCTAAGTCACTTCAGTCCTGTCCAACTCTTTGCCATCCTATGGACTATAGCCCACCAGACTCCCCTGTGAATACTGGAGTGGGTTGCCATGCCCTCCTCCAGGGGAATCTTCCCCATCCAGGGATGGAACCTGATTCTCCTACATCTCCTGCATTGGCAGATGGTTCTTTACCACTAGCACCACCTGGGAAGCCCAGATGAGGCCATTACTTGGGTCTTAATCCAATGTGGCTGGGGGCCTCAAGAGAAGAGGAAATTTGGACACGCAGATGTCAGGGAGGCCTGCACACAGAGGAAAGACCATGTGAGCACACATCCAGAGGTGCCATGTGTGGGCGAGCTGAGGAGATGGCCTAAGAGGAAACCAAACCTTCGACACTTTAAAGCTTGGACTCCAGCCTCCAGAACTGTGAGGAAATGAATCTCTGTTGCTTAGGCTGTCCTGTCTGTGGTCTTTTGTTACAGGAGCCCTCATAAACTAAAACAACAGAGAAAGAAGGAAGGGGCCTGGAGGTGTTAGGGAGAAAGGTGAAACCAACAGATGTTGAGCAG